CTTTGGAGCCACATAGTCTCACTTCCATTTCACAGATGAGGAAATTGAGGCTTAGAGAGGTCTAAGGTCACACAGCCAATCAATAGAGTGGGTGGAACTGGATCAATATCTGTCTGACTCCAGAGCCCACTGCCTTCCACTCTGCACTCACTGTCTCCTTCCGGGGGCACCACTCCCTGTTATTCTGTAAAAACATCTCCCTGGGCAGTGTGACACAGCAGCCTTGAAATTCTAATGTGCTAGCTTTTTTGCAATATATATTTGGGATATGTTTTTGGCCCTAAAAAATTGTGGTGGGGAATATAAAGATGGCAAAGTCAGCACAAGAAGGCTAAGTAGTTAGAAAGTGGGTCTGTGTGCTGATGTGACTCGGTAGAAGCTGTTTCCAAGAGGTTAGACATCAGACATAGAAGGATCCTGGGAAACAGCATTCTGGCCTAGGCTCAGGGAGGCTGCAGAGTCTGGCCAAGGACTCCCAGCATCCTCACCTGCCCTGGCTCCCATGTTCCACGGCTGCCCATCAGGCACCCTAGGTAGGCTTGGTAAACAACTCACAGAGGCCACTGCTTTGCAGCCCAGCACATGCCCAGAGTCACTCCTTCCCCCAACCAGGACAATCAGGTCTTGCCAGGACCAAAAGATGCCCCTGCCAGGGATACCCTTCTCAGACTCAGTGGAGTCCAGGGCAGAATTCCAGGCAGGAAAGCCAATCACCCAGTCCTAGTCCCAGGTCTACTTTCACTGCTCTGTGACCTTGGCCCAATCAGTTGACCTTTCTGAGCTTCAATTTTCTCCATGACTCTTCTCTCTCTCAGCTGGCCCTCCCCTCCCACCCTCCCACCTCACACTTTGGCCAAATTGTTTCATAAAAAAAGAACTCAGGGTTCTCTTTGGAGAGACCACATCAATGCAGGGCATTATTAACATCATTACTATTAAATATTAATAAGGACATTAGCATTGTCTATTACAAGCCTGAAAAAGAAACTCCAAGAGCCCTGGGTTGAAATGGCTCAGAGAATAATTAGGCCCCTCCAAGCCACAGACCCCCTCCAGGCCCCCAAGTGAAATTAGGAAGGCAGATGTGGACAGAGTGTTGAGACGCCCCTGCCAGCACCCCCTGCTCAGTGTGACTTGGCCGCATGCAAATCATGTCCCTTCCAGTCCCCAGTACCCCACGCCAGGAGTGCACTCCCCACCTCCTCTCTAGCCAGGCCCAGTTCCAGGTATACACCCCCCACCCACCAAAACCTTCACCCAAGCAGCTCCCTCTTCGCCATCTGAACTGTGGCCATAGTGACACTCCTCCCTTCACTCACCCAGTTGGCAAACATTCTCTACTACACACCAGGCTCTGCGCTAAGCAGTGGGGGGGGGGGGGTTGCAGCTGGTAAAATAGAGACATAAATGAGATAATCCCTGTTTTCAGAGACTGCACAGTTGAGGGACTAATAATCAGTATTTTGTACGGCACTTGGCCCTACAAAAGATGCTTTAAAAAGCATTGTTTAATCCACGTGTCTTCACAACCATCCTATATAGAAGTAGTATCATTCCCATTTTACTTATGAGAAAATAGATTCTCAGAGCAATTGAGTGTCCTTCAGTGACCTGCCTAGTGTCACTCAGCTAGGAGTGACAGAGCCAAGACCGAGTCCCGTTCTTGGAGTGCAGATCCAAGGCCCCAGCAACCCTTGCGGCAGAGAAGGGCTTGGCCTGTTAGCCACATGCCCTTGTGTTACCGATGGGGAGGCTGAACCCCACACAGGCCCAAAGAGAAGTACTGACCTTATTGGGCACCTACCATGTGCTTGGCACTGTAGTGGGTACTTCTTGTATTAATTCTCATTGAGATTTGTGTCTTAATCCCCATTTTCCAGGTGAGGATCCCGGGGCTCTGAGGAGGCAAGTGGCTTGACGGTGACCACATGCTCCTAGGTGGCAGAACTGAGTGTCAAACTGGTCTGATGTCAGAGCCTTGTCACTCTGCCCCAACGCTGCAGATGGACAGTCCTGTTACCACTATCACACTGCTTCCGGAAAGACTGCAGGTACAACAAAAACGGACCATACTTTATGGCTCTTGAATCCCCCACTCTTCTAGGCAGAGAAGCTGTTCCAGAAACATGGTCTCCTGGGACCTCTAGAAGAAGGTCTGAAGTCTGAAGCCAGAGGTAAATACGCTGCTGGCTGGAGAGGTCAAGAAACCCTATGTGAGGCTCTAGGTTAATGAGGAAAGAGATCTCAGTGCCAGCAGAGCCCTGTGGCTCCAGCAGTGTCTCAGCTCCCCTGACTTGTCCCCCGGGGCTGGGCCCCAGACCCCTCCTTGACCGTGTAGAGATCCACGGACTCCTTTGGTATTGATCTGGTGGGGCCTCAAGAGGAGGGAGCAGATGGTCTGGAAGGGTTGGGTGGCCCTCGAGGTGCCTCTGGGGGTGCCCCCTCAGGGGTCACCAAATGTTTGCAGGCAAATTAGTGACTCGTTTGATTAGCCACCTGATCGTCTTGCATTGGCCCCTGTCTGCCCTGTCTGGGAGTCTGTGGGCACTCGGCTGGGAGTGGCTGCTCTGGACAGCACGGAGACATCTTGATGAGCCTCGGCGGGGAGAGATGCCCTTACGGCCAGCTGCACTGAGGGTGCCGGGCTCTGACAGGCACCAAAAAAGATGGAACTGTCCAGTCCCCTACTTTGCCCACCCCAGAGGGCAGCCAGCAGGAGACAGTGGTCAAACCATGAACACTGGAGCCAGACCAGCAGTTTCTGCTTCTTCACGAGTTTAGTTTACTTTGAGCAAATTCTCTCTCTGAGAATCATCTGTAAAATGGGAATAATAATAATAACATGCACCCCATGGGCAGATAATTCAGGTAAAACACTTGGCACAGCTCCTCATACTTGAAGACACTCAAATTATTATTAATAATGAATAACAGTATTATAAAATCTTTGTTTTTATAATGGACTCCACAGGCAAAACAGCCTGGATCCCCAAATGCTCACCCCACTCTCTCTTTGGGAACAGGAGCACCTTAGAAGTTGGCAGTGAGGATCCCCAGTCACCCCCCAAATCCACCTGTGCCAGGCTCAGCTGAGAGCTTCAGGTAGGTGAGAAGATGAACCTTTGGGAAATGTCTCCCCAAATCGAGGTCTAGGTTAGTAAGTACTCCTGTTTGTAAGTGTTTAGTAAGTACTCTTGCTGCGTCTGCTGGCGCCCACCTGGGTGGAGCAGGCAGGTTGCAGAGGAATCTGAGCGCATCTTTGAGACCCAAGTCACCTGTGCTAGTGGGGAGGGAGCCATGGCCCTCCCCAAGGACCCAGCCCCCACTGAAAGCGCAGCAGCTGTCCTAAAATAGACACACAGACAGCCATCTCGATCTCAAGCAATCCTTGCAAGCATTTCCACACCCTTGGTCCCTGAGTCAGCCAGTCCCCCAGCCAGTCAGTCCAATGGCAGCAGGCATGCCAGCCGCTTCCTGCTTGGAACTCGATCCCCTCTCTCTTTAGAGCCTGAGCCCATCTGGGTGCGTCAGAGGGCAGGGTCACCTCAGAAGCTCAGGGCCAGTGTGTCAGCTCCAGGGACACATGCACACACGCAGACAGACAAGCTAATGTGGGCAGAGGCAGGAAAAGCAAGGATGTACTGAAAGGGATTTGCACACAGTATTCCAAGTTATCCAAGACATCGTTAGCACCATCAGATGCCTCTCTATCAGGAACAAAGACTGTCTCAGAGTTGGGAAAGCCCTCGTGGGGGTGGGGAGCGCAGGATGGGCAGGGAGAGCATATGGGACCCGGGCAGGCGCTCTGCGCCTAGGAGGCTAGGCAGCAGATGTCCCCTGCCTTCGCTGGCCCTGTCATTCTTTCCAGGTCTGTCCGAGCCCCTCCGCTCAGGAAGACATGGAGCCGCACACCAGGTTTGACAGGTATGGCCATTTAAAACTGAGGCTAGCCTGACCCTGCCAGCTGTTTCAGATCTGGACCACTCACTGGTGTTGCCGGTGCGAGCTGGACAGCAGGCGGACCAGAGGGGCTGAGCCAACAGTGACAGCCGATGAGGCAGCCACTGCTGCAGATGGCTGGGCCCTCCGCCTCCCAGCCCCAGTCTTCCTGGGCACACCCACCACATGGCAGGAGCAGAGCAAGAGAGATGTGTCACTGACCTGCCTGAGCACCTGGAATCTCACAGCTGGTGGGGCCTTGGCCATCTTTAACCCCTTCAGGTTACCAGTGAGGCTCAGAGAAGGCAGAGCACTTAGCCAAGCACACACAGCCAATCAACAGAGCCCAGGTTACCCTTCAAGCATTCAGATCCCAGTCTAGTGAGCTTCTCACGACATCTTACAGCTGGTTGACTACCGATGGGTGTGGATTCACAAGTACTGATGTGGAAAGGTGTCCAAGAGCCATAATACAGTTTAAAAAATATTTTGCACAGCATAATGTATTGTGTGATCCCATTTTCCTAAAATAATAACCCACGTAATTATATACATGAAAATAAGAAACCTGGAGGCATGGAACTCAAATTTGTTAAAGGACTTTCATTATCTGTTTTTAAATTTCCTCTGATGTTTGGACATTTTGACCCAAAGTTCACATCACTTTAACAAGCAAGAGAAACGATAAAGATGAACATGTGGGGTGGGTAACAGAAGTGCCCACCCGCTCAGTCCCACCTGCCCTGCACAGCAAGCAGGGGTTTCTAATTTGGGTGCCTTCCTCTGATAGGAGGTTTCTGGGGAAACAGGGGGTTTGTTTCCGCGGTTCCGAGGGGCCAAGGAGCGAGTGCCGCTTGCGCCGCCTGCCCACCACACCCCTCTCCGGTCCTGCGGGCTCGGGGGCAGGGGCAGGTCGGCCGGACCGTCCGCGGAGCTGCCCATGCATCATGGAAGACGCAGGCGCCCTGGCTTGCTCTCTGGTCCTTAAATGACAGCAAATGAGGCAAAGCCAGGAGGGTGGGGACGGGAAGCGGGTGGGAGGGGGGCCGAAGGGAGCCATCTCCAGGGCCCCCGGCGCTGGCAGAGGGCCGGAGCCAGCCAGTGAGCGGGGCCCGGGAGAGGGCGGAGCACATCGTGATGCAGAGATGCTGCAGTGGCTCCGGGCGCGCACACACACACGCCGCCGCGCCAGGGCGGCTGCAAGCAGCTGAGAGCGGGGAGGACGGGCGGGCATCCTGGGGGCCCGGGCCGGGCTGGCTCCGGCCCACCGCCGCGGGTAGCGTCCACCTGCCCCAGCCAGCATCCTTCGTTCACCTCAGGTAGGTGCCGACTGTTTTTGTCTCCCTCAGCCCAGGGTCTTCCCAGGCACCGTGGTGGGCAGGGGCTCAGGGCTGTTTCCTTGCAAGTTGGGAGGGGGCTGGGGCAGCGCAGGAACCCCGACTGGCCATAGCCAGTCAGACTCCTCACCCCAGCGCCACAGTGGCCACCAGACTCCAGGTCCTCTCCACCCTGTCTATGTGGGTGACATCCTGCAGGGACCCCAGGAAGCCAGCCCCTATCAGTGTGTCCAGGAATTCCAGCCGGCCACGGGCTGCAGCGCAATTGCCGACGGGGAGGGCAGCAGCCACAGGGGTGGCCCTGGGCCTCAAGTCCTGGCAGACAGTCCACAAGGCCAGGCCCAGAGCCTGACCTGCCCCTGCAAGCCCCTGGATGGAACTGAACCGGACTGAGGTTCCCGAGTCCGCCTTTGCAGGGTGACCTCTTGGCAAAGTGTTGCTTCAGTTTGACAGAGGGGGCGGCTGTGGAAGAGGTGGGGACAGTGGAACACAAGTTTGGGCAAAGGCCTGTCCGGGAGTGGGGGCAGAGGAAGGAGAAAAGAGGCGAGTCGCAGCCCCAAGGGTGAGAAGCTGGGACCCCGGGCTGAAGTTCCTTTTCTTCCCTTCCTCCCTCCCCAGCCTCACCTTCTCCCCAATCCCTCCCCGTCATCCTCCCCGGTGGGAAGGAAGGATTGGCATGAAGTTGGGCTTTTTGGTGAGGAAAGGCCTTGAGGGGGAAGGGGCACATTTAGGGGGTTGAGAAAGAGGGGGCAATCCCGCCCAGCTCCCTGGGGCTTAAACCATGGACCAGAGATGAGGGAAGCAGCCCCACATGGTGTCCAGTGCTGAATGCTGTCACCTTCTCCAGGAGGGTTTCCCACAGCTGGAGCAGATGCGGGGTGACATGGGACGGTGGCTTGGGTGGAGACAGTCCCGCTGTTCCCTGGGACTCTTCAGCTGCAGACCCCGGGAGGCTGAGCCTGGGCCCCAGGAGGAAGAGCTGTCGGTCAAGGTTGTTTGGAGGTTTGGGAATCCAGACAGACAGGGATGGGGTGGGCTGAGTGCCCCCGGCCCCAGCCCTGGAGAAGGGTGGGTTTCCCGGCACCAAGACAGCTGCCCTCGGCTTCCCCCCTCCCTCTCCTTTCAGCCTGACCCCCCTGAGGCCCCCAAGCTCCCTTCCCAGCCTAGCCAGCATCCTCACTCCTCCGCTCAGAGGAGGTGGGATGAGGAATGACTGAAGCCCTTCCCTGGGCTCCCCACCTCCTTCACAGCACCAGCCTTGGCCTCCGGTCCTAGCCTCTAACCAGAGAGCCCCTCAGTCCCCTGAGCTCCCAAGTCTCTGCCTCCCACTCCCACTCACAGAGATCATGTGAGCCATTGGAGATCAAGGGCAGGAGAGGGTGGGCCACTTGTGGGGGAGGCCGGTGTGACCATGGCTCCTGGCACAGAGCAGAAGATGGTGCCTGAATTTTGGCTTAGGGAGGGGGGGTTCTGTCCTTAGGGACAGAAGCATTTATGCCCCTCCCTGGGGTGCCCCACCAGTTAGCCCCTTCCTAGCCAGGCTGCAGAACCACTCAAGCAGACTTCTGCCTCAAGGGCAAAGTTCTTCCTGATTTCCCATGGCATCTGTCAGGGGTCCTCAGCCAGCAAGGGGGAGCCAGGGTGTGAGACAGAGGCAGAGGGTCCCTGAGGCTGGGACATCAAAGATACCAAAAATCCACTGTTGCTGGCACTCACCAGGAGCCCAGGGAGATGCGTCCCCTGCTGTTTGTCCCAGCTGGCTCTGTCTCACCCCACCCATCCTCTACTCCCCAGGGGCCAAGCTCTTCCCTGGCACTCCCTTTCCAGGTCTGATGCACTCCCCAGCTTCAGCCTCAGCCTACACCTATATGCCACTTACCCTGCCAGATCTCACTCCTTATGCAGCGCCATTCCAGCACCTTCTCTGCCAGCAGTGGTTCAAATAGAGACCCTGTGGAATGGGCCTCTCAGGCACAGTGTTCAACAGGATGCCTGACATGTTGTCTCTGACTGGTCCAACCTACTCCTCAGGAGCAGGTGCACCAACAGGGTGCCCCCAAGGCATCCTCCCGGCTCTAAGGCTTCGAGGATGCATGTCCACCATGCCCACCCCCATCAACTCCTCAAGCCAAATGTTTGTGGGAAAGTGCATCTCAAAGACAATCTTTAAGCCTGAGAGTAGGTGGTATTTGTATCTGGCGAGGGATTCCTAGGGCATAACCAGGGGGCTGAGCAAAAGATGGTTGATACCCAGAGAAAGAAGAACCACAGCAAAGAGCATGCCAGTGAAGCAGGAGAGACTGAAGTTAGAGTTCAGGAAGCACTTCCTCACTAGGAAGACGAGCCCTGAGGAGGTGGGGCGATCTCGTTTCCAGTGACCCTGATTGGGGTGTGGACAACTGGGCTCTAGTCCAAGGTTAGGGACAGACTTGCCTGGAGGCAGAGGTTGGGCTGGACGACTGCAAATTCCCTCCAGTTTCAGGTTATCCCCAGTCAAATAGTAAGAGTGGAGGTGACTCTTACCCTCAGAAGGCAGACATGCTTTTCATTTCCTCCTGCACGTTGGCCACCTCTCACACCCTAATCTGGACCAACCCACCCCCTGCCTGGGCCTGGCCCGCCTGGGACATTCATGGGAGTTTCCGAGGCTCTGCAACCATCCTGGAGCAAAGAGGTCCTTCCTCCACTTTAATGCATTCTTCTGCTACAGAATGAGCCCGTGTTTCCTTATTTACTCGAAGGTGCGAACAAGAGCAAAGGGATCTTTGTCCTCACCCCAAACTGACCACACGGTCCCAGAGCCTGTGCAGGTCCAAGCGCGCCTCTAGTGAGCCACCCCACCCCCAGCTCCGCAGGGCACCCATCCGGACGAAACCGCTGGGTCTTCTCCGGCTCTGTCCCGCATCCTCTCCCTGTCTGCCAGCCTCAAGGACCAAGAGGCTCCGCACACTGTGTCTGCGCCCTGCAGCACAGCCTGAGAGGTGCGGTTATTCTGGGCCCCAGAGCAGAAGCGAGCCTGTGGGGAGGAGCAGGTTCAAACCCACCCTCACCAGGCTTGGCTCTGAGCCAGCCTGCCAGACCGGGGCTGGGGGGGTCTCCTCCCCGCAGATGACGGGACACGCAGCAAACGGTCCTCTGACTTCTTCCTGATCTGGTTCTTCAGACCAAGTTGAAACTATTTGTTCTTGGTCCTGGCATCTCCGAAAGGGGCCCTCCCTCCAAAGCCCCCACTCATTCCGCCCCATAGCGCACAGGCAGGTGAGCAGGAACACGGAGGGTCTGCGTGTGGCCCCTTACCCAGAGCTCTCCCCTTCTGTGCACGCCCCTCTCCCAGGGCTCTCCCCAGCGGAGGGGCCAGGAGGGCTGCAGGTCAGGGCCACCCCCCACCCCCCCGGGCACTGAAAGCTCTGTCAGATCCTGGGCCCGGGAGTCACGGCTCTCCCCAGAGGGCACAGCGGTGCCAGGGCTGGGGCCCCAGGACCAGCTGCAAATACAAAGAGTCTGCAGAAGAGGCTGAGGGGTGGGAAGGGAGGGGGCACACCGAGGGGGCTGGCAGAGACCCAGCTGCAGGGCTTCCCTGTCCCCACCCAGTCCCTGTCCTCGACTGGAGCCGGAGGAGGCCTGTAACCCACCCAAACCTGCCCTGAGGACCTCTTCCAGCTCAGGGCACTTTCTCACCGAGGCCTTTCACCCACAGCCCTCCTCCCCCTGCCAGCTCCGGTCCCATCTGGCCCAGGGTCCCACCGGGCCACCACAGACCCCTGGGGTGACTCAGACCTTCCTGGAGGACAGTGATCCTGTCCCAGGTGGCAATTCCCTTTGTAGGCAGAGTCCCCTCCCGTTTTGCAGGCAGGATGTGGAGGTGATCAAGAAAGACTGCCTGCTGGGGTGGGCACCCAGGCGTGTGTCCCAGCCAGGTGCTCTTCTGAACACGTGGTGCCTGGGGTGACGCTGGGTGTTCTTGTGCCCTCGTCTGGGCGGCATGCCTGTTGGAGCCTCCTGTGCCCACTGCCCCTGGAGGGCCTAAAAGGAAGAATACAACTGCCAGGGACACTGGATGTTGGTCAGTATCCTAAACATGAGGGTGTGGCGGAACGTCTTGACTGTGCAGGTGAGGCTGACTCACAGCCGGGCACCACACCCCCCCAGCATGCTGGGATCCCACTCAAGGCTCAGGGAGGACTCTCAGCAATGCCATCTGATCCTTCCCAGGCACTGCTTGTGGGCCTGGAACGGTACAGACCACACACGAGTCCTGTGAGGTGGGTCAACCCTCCTCGTCCCCGTTCTGCAGATGGGAGACTGAGGCTTAGAGAGGTTGAATAAGGAATGAAAGGTCTAGGGTTATACTAGTGAGTTATGCAGGGTCACGGTAACTAGTAAGGGCCAGGCCAGTGGGCAGGAGAGCCTGCCTTGCTAACTGGTGCTCTGTGCTGCAGGACAGAGGAGGGTGGGATCTGAGGGGCTCCTGAGTATTTGTGAGCTTGGGATAAATCACTCCGTCTCTGCCCTCAACTGGGCCCCAAACTCCCCCTTTTCCCAGCACCACCCATCTGGAAGTTGCCAGCTCCCTTAATCCGCAAATCCCCCTTATCCAGGGAGAAGAGGCAGGTCCAGGCCCATGGACTGGGTACCCCAGGTGGCAGCATTTAGGCAGTCTGGCTCGACACAGGAGTCCTCAGCCCAGAAAACCCTGCCGCGTCCTGGAGTACAGCTCACAGCCTTCCATTCCCCAGCTGTCCCCTGGCCCCTTTGTTTCCTGGGCCCAGCAATTCCGCCCACTCCCCCTGGTGCCCCTGAATCCCCCAGGCAGCCCATTCCCATGTGCTGATGCCTCTCTGGGCCAACCCCTGATGGTGACAGTCTGTGCCCGCCTGTGCCAGCCTGCGAGTGCACCCCTGCACTGGGGCAGCTGGCCTGGCCAGACCTGGCTGGCTGAGGACCCCCAGAGCCAGCTCTAGGCCTGGCATAGCTCCACTCCAGCCTTGCTCCTGACAAACAGGCCTCATCCATCCTGGGCACCCTAGGATGTGTCACAGGGCAGATGGTAGCGGGAGATGACGGCCCATGCAGCCCATCAGCACATCCTCTGGCTGCACGCAGTAGGTCGGAGAGCCCCACAAAGAAGTGTTTTTATTGCAGTGCTAGCACACTGCCTGGCACACGGTAATAAATACTGGAATGGAAACAGATGCAGGGCAAGACTGGAGGCCAATTGCCCCCACCTTCAGGGAAGCAATAAGCTCCAAACTTTCACCCAACCCCTGTGTGTGTGTGTGTGTTCATACAAGGCCTTGGCGCACAATGGCTCACTGTACATCTGATCTGGGTGACTGGTCTCTATTGCTCCCCAAGGGTAACTGCAGGTGCTCCTCAGTCCGAGTCCCTCCCCAGCCCGGGTCTCCTCTAAGGCTGCAGGTCTCATCCCCAGGGGATACCTGGGGCCCCTTGAGCTCAGAGGTAACTGATGAAGTCTGGATTCAATTGAAGTTTCAGAGGAGTAGGGGGATTTCTTATCCATGATGTATGGTGATGACCATGGTGAGAAAGAAACACATCTGACCACGGTGGGATGTCAGTGAGTGAGCCAGGGAGCCGGCCACCTCGTGGGTCACAGGGAAATAACGCATGGGCTGCACCGTCACGCCCTTCGGCAGGCAGGGACACACACACACACACACACACACGGGCATACACACAAAGACCAGACATATACACAAGGACACTCACACCACACACAGACATGATATCACCTGCTGGTGGGCAGCCCACCACAGCTGCTGGGCCTCTGTGTGCTCTGCTCTGGCACACTCGGGCTTAGTGCCTGGAGCCCAGGCTGCACCTGAGCTGGCACCCGCCCCCTCATGAGCTCCCAGGACTGGCAGGCAGACAGGGCAGGAAGCAAATGATGACTGAGCACCTCCTCTGTGCCAAACTCCAGGAGATGCAGCCTAGCCCCAAGGGGCACTTTCAAATGTTCTGGAGCTATGAACCCTCTGTTTACAGGGAACCTCCTGGGGAAGTCCAGTAGACACAGCAGATAGAAAGGGAGCTGCTCTGGGTGAGGCAGAGATCCCCAGACTTCCTCCGCCCTCACCGCAACCCCAAGTCAAAGCCAAACAGCCTCAAGTCTTCCCCATAGGGCACTCCATGACCTCACAGAACATGCAGGACAGCTCTGTAAAGTGGGACATGATCTTGATCTCTGCTTGGCAGATGAGAAAACTGAGTTTCCTCTATGGAACAACTTGTCCAGGCTCATAAGGCCATTAGGAGATGAAGTCCAAGCCACCATCCCCCATCTGTGGATCCACAGCACCCCCGGCTCCCTGTGGGAGGGGGCTTCCCTGTGTTTGTGTAGCATCCAGGACCATAATTCTGCATTCCCCCAAGACCAAACATCCTGCTAGAGACCCAAGCATGTGAGAGTGTGTGTGAAGGTGTGTGTGACAGCATGTGTAAAAGCGCATAAGGTAGTATGTGAGAGTCAGAGACAGTGTGCATGTGTGTGCATGTGGGCATGTGTAAAAGAGAGAGCATGTATACATGAGCATGCCTGAGTGCATGAGTGGGAGAGTGAATGGTGAGCAGTGAGGGAGTGAGTGGTGTGCAGTGTGGGTGTGAATGGTGAGCAGTGAGGGAGTGAGTGGCATGCAGCGAGGGAGTGAGTGGTGCAGTGTGAGTGTGAGTGGTGTGCAGTGAGGGAGTGGGTGGTGTGCAGTGTGGGTGTGAGTGGTAAGCAGTGTGGGTATGAGTGGTGAGCAGTGTGGGTGTGAGTGGCGTGCAGTGTGGGTGTGAGTGGTGGGCAGTGTGGGTATGAGTGGTGAGCAGTGTGGGTGTGAGTGGCGTGCAGTGTGGGTGTGAGTGGTGGGCAGTGTGGGTGTGAGTGGTGAGCAGTGTGGGTGTGAGTGGCGTGCAGTGTGGGTGTGAGTGGTGGGCAGTGTGGGTGTGAGTGGTGAGCAGTGTGGGAGTGAGTGGTGGGCAGTGTGGGTGTGAGTGGTGGGCAGTGTGGGTGTGAGTGGTGAGCAGTGAGGGAGTGAGTGGCGTGCAGTGTGGGTGTGAGTGGTGTGCAGTGGGAGTGAGTGGCGAGCAGTGTGGGAGTGAGTGGCGGGCAGTGCGGGTGTGAGTGGTGTGCAGTGTGGGTGTGAGTGGCAAGCAGTGTGGGTTTGAGTGGCGAGCAGTGTGGGTGTGAGTGGTGAGCAGTGTGGGTGTGAGTGGCGAGCAGTGTGGGTGTGATTGGCGTACACTGTGGGTGTGAGTGGCGGGCAGTGTGGGTGTGAGTGGCGGGCAGTGTGGGTGTGAGTGGCATGCAGTGTGGGTGTGAGTGGTATGCAGTGTGGGTGTGAGTGGTGAGCAGTGGGAGTGAGTGGTGAGCAGTGTGGGTGTGAGTGCTGTGCAATGTGGGTATGAGTGGCGTGCAGTCTGAGTGTGAGTGGTGAGCAGTGTGTGTGTGAGTGGCGAGCAGTGTGTGTGTGAGTAGTGGGCAGTGTGGGTGTGATTGGCGTACAGTGTGGGTGTGAGTGGCAGGCAGTGTGGGTGTGATTGGCGTACAGTGAGGGAGTGAGTGGCGGGCAGTGTGGGTGTGAGTGGCGGGCAGTGTGGGTGTGCGTGGCGGGCAGTGTGGGTATGATTGGCGTACAGTGAGGGAGTGAGTGGTGTGCAGTGTGGGTGTTATTGGCGTACAGTGTGGGTGTGAGTGGCGTGCAGTGGGAGTGAGTGGCGTGCAGTGGGAGTGAGTGGCGTGCAGTGTGGGTGTGAGTGGCGTGCAGTGTGGGTGTGAGTGGTGTGCAGTGTGGGTGTGAGTGGTGAGCAGTGTGGGTGTGGTGAGCAGTGTGGGTGTGAGTAGTGGGCAGTGTGGGTGTGATTGGCGTACAGTGAGGGAGTGAGTGGCGGGCAGTGTGGGTGTGAGTGGCGGGCAGTGTGGGTGTGATTGGCATACAGTGTGGGTGTGAGTGGTGTGCAGTGTGGGTGTGAGTGGCATGCAGTGGGAGTGAGTGGTGAGCAGTGAGGGTGTGAGTGGTGTGCCTTGTGGCAGTGAGTAGTGGGCAGTGTGGGTGTGAGTGGCGTGCAGTGTGGGTGTGAGTGGTGAGCAGTGTGGGAGTGAGTGGTGTGCAGTGTGGGAGTGAGTGGTGTGCAGTGTGGGTGTGAGTAGTGGGCAGTGTGGGTGTGATTGGCGTACAGTGTGGGGGTGAGTGGCAGGCAGTGAGGGAGTGAGTGGTGGGCCGTGTGGGTGTGTGTGTCCAAATTTGCCCGGGGGTTGCCCGGGCGGACCCTGAGGACGGGGCGGTCGATCAGGTGTGAGTCGAGCCCTGTGAGCGCGTGCATCTGTGTGCGCCAAGGTTGCTTCCCGGCTCCCGGAGGCGCATGATCGCTGCTGTGCTCGGTCACCTAAAGGAGACAGACAAGAAACACCTATTCCTCGCTGGACCCTTTGCCAGCACGGGTGGTCCCTAGAGGGAGGCGTCGGGGTCTCCGAGGGGGCAGCTCACGACCTTCTGCAGTGGCAGATGTGCCTGGAGGGCGGGGTGCCCAGGGCCTGGAGGGCCTTGCCTGGAGGGGCGCTGCAGGGGACATGAGCAAAGGCACAGTGACTGGGTGTTGAGGGAGTCGGGGAGGCCAGAAGCGCCAGATTTTGGGGTTTACATGTGAAAGGGAAAGGGGCAAGGACAGGGAGGGGCAGGCAGCTGTTGGGGGTTGGCACCATCTGTCTGAACACCACTACCCCCACCCAGCTTCTCAGCCCCTCCCGCCCCAACAGGCCCTGGGGCCACTCCTGCCTCTGCCTCCCGCAGGGCCTTCCTGTGCCGGCAGCTGCGGCTGCAGAGGAGGCAGGAAAAGGTCGTGGGGTGACCAGCTGTTGAGGTGTAGAGCGGGAGGGCGGGCGGAGGAGCAGAACCCCTAGTCGGGCTGGCTGGCTCCCTGTGGCACCTCTGATGGGGAGCCCTGGGGACCCAGTGACTCAACCTCGGCCCTGAGATTCTACACTCCCCACAGAACTCGGAAAGTCTGCCCAGAGCGGGGGAGTAGGTGGGCAGGCTGGCCCTGCCCTCAGCTCTCAGGACGAAGCCCCCTCTCTCAGACTGATGCAGGGGGCTCTGACCTGCTCTCCCTGCCGTGACCCCCCAGGGCACAGGCTCCCCGGAGATCCAGGAGCTAACCACGCCTCTGCTCGCCTCTGTCCCAGGGAGTCTCCTCTGGGAGCTTGCAGCCCAGGGGCCTGTCTGGCCCATTAGCCCGTCTGGTAGGGGGGCACTGCTAATGGGGCCAAGGCTATGGCTGCACCGTGCTACAGAGGTGCCCTACCTGGGGCCCGCTGAGAGGGTGTGGATGAACCCAGAAACTCCTCCCTGCTGGAAAAACAAGGCTGGCCCTGGGAGAACAGCCTCCCAGAGGGGCGCATTCCCCCAACCCAGGCAGCTGTCGGGGAGGGACAGGGGAGAACGGATCCCAGTTGGTAGAGGAAGATGTTTCCCCATCATTCCCCAAGCCCAGCGCTCCCGGGCCTTCCACCGAGGGCCCTTACTGAGTGGGCAGGTGGGTTCTTGCCTCCAGTTAGTTACTCACTCCCTGAGCAGCACCCTGCTGGCTGCACGGGAAGTGGGGAGAGGGCGCCAGGCAGAGCCATTCTCCCAGGGGGCCTGAGGAGGCACTCAGCCCTCGGAAGAGCTCCTTGGTAATGGCCGAGCTGGGGCCCAGGGGAGGGTGAGTGCTGGAGCGATTCCGGCCTCGCCCCAGGCTGTACAGCCCCAGGGACCCAGGCTGCCTGGAACCGGGAAAGGGGGCTCCTTGGCTCAGAACCTCCCTCCCCCGCAACGCCCACCCTTGCCCCTGTCCTGTCTCCCCAGGTCCTCAGCCTCCCGCTTCCTCCTGGCACTGGGCTGAGCCTCCTCTCCTCCGCAACCCCTCTGCCTGGGAAGCCTGCCATGGGGCCGCCCGCCAGGCGGAGGTCACACGTGCTGCTGCTGCTCGCTGTGGCCCTCGCCTCCTGCCCAGGTAAGCCCACTGGGCCCCACGCCCCCGGGCCCCACATCCTGGCAGCAGTGGTCTCATGAGAGCATCGCTATTATTTCAGCGATGGCGACAGATCATGACTCCGCACTGGCGGAGCACTTTGGGTTTCTGAGGCCGTGTCCTCGCTACAATTTTCCCATCTGTGGGTCTTACCTTCCCTTTGAAGTTAGGAGGACAGGGAATGAGGGCTTGCCAAGACGCAGAAATCTAGACAAGAGGGTGAGTGGTTTGTCCTGGGCCACAGAGTAAGACCCACGCTATCAGCCTCTAAGCTGCGCTGTCCAGTAGGGCAGCCCGAAGTCATACTGGACTAGGAAAACTGAGGTTAAGAAGGATCTGGAAACGAGTTCCTCAGCGGCACTAGCCACCTCTGGGGCTGCTGGCCTTGTTGGACAGCACTGCTCTAGCCCCCCGAGAGGAGACGGGGGTCAGCACCACACCCCTCAGGGAGGGCTCCTCAGGCCACGCTGCAGCCTAGCAAACAGGCTGAGTGCGGAGCAGGACCTGGGAGAGAGGACGCAGAGCCTGGGCTGGGGAACCGGCAGCAGGGACCCCAGCAGAGCCTCTCCTGCCCAAGTGGGCAGGTGGGAAGTGGGAGGAGGAAGCCTGGCAGAGGAGATGCTGAGGAGAAGAGAGCAGGGCAGGTGGCAGGGCAGGCGAGGGGCCTGGCTAGTGGGACCCTGGAGTGTGCCGGGAGGCGGCACCGGAGACCCAGCCTGACCAAGAGCTGGAGAGAGGCCTCCAGCCTACTGCCCTGGGGGGCCTGCTGGGGGACCCCCAGCCCAGATCCTGGGCTTTTCTCCCTGGGATCTCCACAGGAGGAGAGGCCGGCCTCCACTGTCCCAGGGTTTGGGCACCTCAGATGCCACCTCCCCACCCCACAGCCCCAGCAGGCCAGGCTGCAGCCGGCACATTTAGGCTTGTGTCTCACCAGGGAAGGACTCCACTGGCATACTTTCAGATGGTCTCATTATGTCCTGACTGCCTCCCATCCTGTACCCAAGTCAGGGAGGCCACTGGGAAATAGGGCTGGCCCAGAGGCTGGTGGGGGGAGCCTCCTGGCCCCCCGGGCCCACCAGGTGCGGGGAGCTGCTGGCGGTGGGTATCCCAGGCTGCGTGGAGCTAGAGACAGGCCCCCAGAGAGAGCAGAGCAGAGCCAGGCTGGCCCACATTGCTCCCCCTCAGGGCCAGTTCAGTGCTGGGACCATGCCACCGAGGCAGGGTCCACAGAACCAGGGGTGCGGGAAGGTCAAGGGAGGTGGCACCTGGTGGCCATCCAGAGCCCTCTGCTCCCTGTGCTCACTGGTGGCACAGCTTCGGACTCCAGGCAACCCAGGGTAAGGATTCCCTTCACACTCCCATCCCTCTGACCCCTCCCTCTGCAAGGCTCCTGATGTCTGTGTCAGGGGAGCAGACTTGCCCGAACAGGAAATTGGGGCAGAATCAGAGAGGAGGCGGAACAAGGACAACAGGAGGGGGTGGCTTTCCCTGAGACTGTGCGTGTGTGCATGTGTGTGTGTGTGTGTGTGTGTGTGTGTGGTGAGTGGGGTGGGTGTGAGGATGTTTGAGAAAGTGGAGGTGTGCGAGTTGTTGCAGGGATGGGGGCCACATTTGGGGGGTGACAGCACGCAGCACGGCCCCGTGGCCCTCAAGCCCAGCTGCCTGCAGAATGCCCCCAGGGCATTTTACAGTGTGGAGTCTGGGCCTCACTTCTAGAGATTGTGATTCAGCCCGTCCATGTCGGAGCAGGGCTTCCGATGGTTCCGATGGGAAGCTGAGGTCAAGAATCATGGTCAAGGACACCGGCCAGGGCCCAGAGTCTACATCTGCTCCTTTCTGTGTAAATGGGGGCAAGTTATCCGACCTGCTGCAGTCTTTTTCCATGTTAGTCAAACAAGCAAATGGCAATACTTACCTTGTGAGGCGCGTATGGGAAGGAAATTCAGAGCACGGCATCCCTGCAAGAGGAAGCTCGCAGTAAGAGCACCCACTCTCGGTATCATGAACGCACAGCTATGTGTAAATAAGTACACGTGGACATCCATAGCTGCATGTGCGTGGGAACGGACGCGTGTGTAAAACTGTATATTGGCTTAGAGAGGTATGTGCTATGGCTGTGTAATGTGAGTGTGTGTGAGGAAGCGTGTGCAGGGCAGAGGTGGGGAGGCAGGCATACGTGGACGTTGAGGCGGGTGTGCATATGGCCGGACGCAGAGGAGGGAGCATTTGGGGAAAGCAAGCCGGCTCCCAAAGCACTAGGGCTTCCCAGGTCCTCTCCACCACCTGCCTTCCCCCAGACGCAGTTACTGGAAGCTGCTATTGCACAAGGTCATCCCCAGCAGCCTGGCTGCCTCCACCACACTTGCCTTCTTCCCTTCGCCTCCTGACAGTCCCAGCTGGGGTGGGGGTCCCTGCCCCTCCCCCACCATCATTAATTTAGGATTAAGCGGGGCTTTCCAGTCAAGATGATGTATGGATGTATGGCTTCCCCCTTCTCTGAGGCCTGAGGCAGCAATGAGGGACTGTGATGGGTGGTGGGGAGGAAGATGGGGGAATGCCATTTCAGGGAGCCCTGCCTCCTTCCCCGCTCTGAAAGCTGTGTAACAGCTGCCCCCATTCCCCGGGGTCCAGGCCGGGCCTCAGCTGCGGCATAGGGGCCCACCCCTACCCCTGGGATAGGGCGGCAGCTGGGCATGCTGGGAGAGAAGGCTAATTGGTTAATGGGGATACCACCACCCAGGACCCACCAAGGGCCTGAAATCAGCTGCACTGAGAGGTAGGAGCCAATTAGGGGTGGCCTGGCTCTTGCCTGACACCACAAAAGCCAAGTGTACCCGGCCACAGAGGTCAGCCAGTACAGTCCCTCCCCGCCCCAGTGGAATGGCAGCTGAAACACTGCCCTCTACGCTTCGGCCCCCTGCCCTGGTGCGGGTGGACCGCCGTGCCGAGAGAGGCACCTGCCCCGGGAGGGGCCAGGCACGGAAACTGTTCACCCGTGTGCTACTCATTTACTGAGCAAATTCAGGAGACCGAGGTCTAAACCTGTGCGAGCCACAGACTTGCCCTGTGACTGCAGGCAAGTCATTCCCTTTCAGGGCCTCTCTTTCTTGAATTGTTTTACTGGCATTGTGTGAAAATGTCTTCAAAGCAACCTGCACACCATCCATCCACCATAAAGCCTTCTTTCTTCCCCTAATCCCGCCCCACCTTGCGCTCGGGTCTAGCAGACATCTGCTGAGCGCACAGCCTGCGCCAGGCTGATGGCTGCTGTGGACCCTGCCCGGTGAGTTCAGTCCTTCCATTTCACAGGTGAAGGCATTGAGGCTAAGAAGGGTTCTTTCTGTAGCTGCTAATTAGAGGTCAAGAGCCATAGCCCTTTCCGTGGGCCCAGAAGGAGCTCCAAGCTCCGGGGACGCGTGCTCTCCCCACCTTTCCAGCCAGTGCCTTCCCGTGCCCCTTTCACGCGCATCTCACTCCCTGCTGAGCAGCTTTCCCTGCGGCTCCCCTGCCAGCCCCAGAGAAGGGTCAGCTCCTCACCCGAGGCCCCCCTGCACCCTGAACCTGAGCTGCTCCTTGGCTCTTCCCATGTTGTTCCTTCAGTTTCCTGCCTCCCTCCCTAGACTGCAAGCTCTTCCTTGAGGAAGAGGGGCTGTGTCTCCACAATACAGTACAACACAGTCCCTAGCCCAGTGCCGGGTACACAGCAGGTGCTCAATACCTGAATGTCGGATGGGTGATTGACTGAACCGATGTGATCAGACGGGGCCTGCCCAACCTATTGAAACTCAAACTTTAATTAATTAAAATTGCAAAAATTAAAACTTTGGTTCTTCATCTGCACTAGCCCCGTTTCAAGGGCTCAGTGTCCAGCAGCTGGTGGCTACCATACTGGACAGTGCTGGAAGTGGAAACTTTCTACCATCCAGAAAGTTCCACTGGAGAGCACTGCCCCAGAAGCCAGGCTCCAGCTGGCTGCCAGGCCCTGAGGTCTCTGGTGGTGCCCCCCATCTGCAGCTCGGAGCTCAGCCCGGGGATCCCTGGCCACCTTTGGGCCTGTCTTTGAAGACCAGCCCTTCGGTCTGCTATTCCCTGAGGGGTCCACAGAGGAGAAGGTAACGCTGGCATGCCGTGCCAGGGCCAGCCCTCCTGCCAACTACAGGTGAGACCCCCATGGTGGGTGCTGGGAAGCCCCGGGCAGCCACACAGTTTTCCTCACATCAGCCCTGTTGCCAAGCTGGGCCCAGTCGGGCAGGCCTCAGGAGGGCCCACCTCCTCCACTCCCGCTGCAGGTGGAAGATGAACGGCATGGAGATGAAGCTGGAGCCAGGTTCCCGCCGCCAGCTGGTGGGGGGCAACCTGGTGATCATGAACCCCACCAAGGCGCAGGACGCCGGTGTCTACCAGTGCCTGGCCTCCAACCCAGCGGGCACCGTTGTCAGCAGGGAGGCCGTCCTCCGCTTTGGCTGTGAGGCCCGGGGGAGGGGGGCAGGGTGGGAGAAGGTGTCCAGAAAGGGCGGGTGACTCCCTCCCGTGGAGGCTGGTGCCCGAGTGCCCGTCTCCTCCTCCAGTTCTGCAGGAATTCTCCAAGGAGGAGCGAGACCCGGTGAAAACGCACGAGGGCTGGGGGGTGATGTTACCCTGTGACCCACCTGCCCACTACCCAGGTGAGCCGGGCCCCTGACCCGTGCTTAGACAAAGGGCACAAGAGGGGCTTCTGACCACTCAGCAGAGGAGGGATGGAGTGCATGTGGTGAGTGACCCTTGGAAGCTCTGGTCCCTGTGTCCCCAGATCTAGCCCCGGGCCCTGCCCAGACGGAGAGGTCCCCGAGGACAGGGGCTGTGTCCCCAGAAGACAGCATACCTTGAGGGCAGGAATGAGGTCCCACTCCCCCGAAGGTCTCCTCTCAGGCCCGGCTCAGGGCCCGGAGGCTCTCAGCACAGGGTCCGCACATCCCCACCATGTGGTAGACGCCCCAGAGCTGCCCCATTAGCTCAGCACCCCAGGGTTTCCTCAAACTTCCCACGTCCTAGGCTTGTCCTACCGCTGGCTCCTCAACGAGTTCCCCAACTTCATCCCCACGGACGGGCGTCACTTCGTGTCCCAGACCACAGGAAACCTGTACATTGCCCGCACCAACGCCTCAGACCTGGGCAACTACTCCTGCCTGGCCACCAGCCACATGGACTTCTCCACCAAGAGTGTCTTCAGCAAGTTCGCTCAGCTCAACCTGGCTGCCGAAGGTCAGGGTCAGCGGGCACGGTGGGGAGGAGAGAGCCAAGGGCCAGCGAGCACTGGGGAAAGAGGTTGTGCCCTTGGAGGCTGTAAAAATCAGTGTGCTGTAAGGCGTCAGACCCTTGCCCCAGACCCCCAAAGGGAAAGGGGGCCGAGGAAGGGCCACGCTGAGCTGTGCTGAGATTCCAAACACACCAGCGCTTGACCTGGATCCTTGTACCTGATCCGCAAAATCCCTCTCTCTCCAGATCCCAGGCTCTTCGCACCCAGCATCAAGGCCCGGTTCCCAGCAGAGACCTACGCGTTGGTAGGGCAGCAGGTCACCCTGGAGTGCTTCGCCTTTGGGAAGTGAGTGGTAGAGAAGGGAGGGAGCAGGCCGGGACACAGCCTCTCGGCCCCTCAAGGGCAAGGGTGGCCTCAAGGAGAGGATAGGCGGGGGCAGAGTTGGCCACCCTGACGGCCCTCAGAGGGTCTAGCAGAGCCCTCTGTCAATGCATGCTTGCAGAATGAATGAAAGAATGGAATTCCCATGTTGGCCCCTCTGCCCTCAAATATCTCCTACAGTTACCCAGGATGCTCCCTGCTTTGCAAAAGAGTGTTGGGCTTCCAGAAAAGCTATATTTCCAGCACATACAAGAGTAACATATTAACCCTTTAGGACTCGTTGCTACCTCAGTCCATTTTAGTACACAGATTACTAATAACTAAAGCCCCTTCGGAAAGTCAAGGCAAGGGACCTGTAAGGACCCAGGCTGCAGGCCACTGTTGAAGAGGGCAGGCCCAGGAGAGGGTCAGAGGTCAGTACGGGGTGGAGACAGGGAGGGCAAGCCGCTTCCAGATACAGGACAGGCAGACTGATGCCACTAGTGAGTGCCACAATCGTTCCAGGGGAGGGGCAGGAGAGGAGTCCCACTTCCCTGTCTGTGCTCTAACCCTACTTGGAAGAAGCCCTCCTTTCCCTGTGTCTCTCTTCCTCTGCTCCTTCCAGGCCTGGGACACCCCCTCCCCTCCCTCTCCACATCCCCACCTGCCCAGCATCCCAGGAGGGCCTCAGAGTCTGGGTGGAGGAGCTGTGGGCACAGGGGAGCCTGCCCAGCTTAGCCCAGCCCCTCTGGCTTTGTCTTCCCTGCCAGCCCTGTCCCCCAGATCAAGTGGCGCAAAGTGGATGGTTCTCTGTCCCCTCAGTGGGCCACAGCCGAGCCTACCCTGCAGATCCCCAGCGTCAGCTTCGAGGATGAGGGAACCTATGAGTGTGAGGCCGAGAACTCCAAGGGCCGCGACAGCGTCCAGGGCCGCATCATCGTGCAGGGTACAGAGCCCGGGACACCCTCTCCCCTGTCTTCACTCTTGTCCCTGAGGAAGCCGACTCAAAATGCAGGGAGGACACTGGGCAGCCCCGTTAAGGTTTCTTGCCCCAGGCTGGCAGCAGTAGAAGAGACTAGCGCTGTGGCCAGCTCAGGGCTTCAGGCAGGGTTACAGAAAGCACACGGAAGGCTTTACAATGATTCAAGACACAAAACAGTCATAAAGTACCAACTTTTTGGAGCCCGCTTCTCCCCTCAACTGCACCCCAACCTCATCCAGCAATGCCGATCGCGCCCTCTGCTGTCCGATATGGGAACTGCAGCGCCCTGGGGCTGGAGGCGGCTCCCAGCTCATTCCCAGCCTTTCTCTCCCTTGCTCCCCACAGCTCAGCCTGAGTGGCTCAAGGTCATCTCAGACCGAGAGGCTGACATTGGTTCCAATTTGCGTTGGGGCTGTGCAGCCGCAGGCAAGCCCCGGCCCACAGTGCGCTGGCTGCGGAACGGGGAGCCTCTGACCTCCCAGGTAGGCCCTGGAGCTTCCTCCCAAACACAACCATCTTCTGCTTACCTGGTCCCTCCCCTTCCAGACATTCCCCCTACACCACTAGCAGCCCCTTGAGGACAATGAGGGTGCCACAGGGTGGTTCTAGGTGCTTCTTTCCATCCCAGTGTCACATGGCCTCAGGCAAGTCACCTGGATAGAGCGCTGACTGGAGGGTTTAGGGACCTGGGTCCAGGCACAACTCACCACAGAAACACTGTGTGGTCCCCAGGGGGTCATCTCGCCCCTCTGGCTTCAGTGTGCTGATATGCAGGGAGGCTTGGGGAATCGGAGTCCTGGGGTTCCAGGCACCCCTGACATGCTACTGGGCATGTGAGCCCGTCCCCAAGGGAGAGGCAGCCTAGAATCTCCACTGAGCCCCACGCTCCACGACCCCTCCACCCTGGGCTCTGGCAGTCCTGATCCCCCCGCCCGTCCTGGGCCGGGCTTTTCTGCACAGCCCCGGGTAGAGGTGCTGGCCGGGGACCTGCGTTTCTCCAAGCTGAGCCTGGACGACTCTGGCATGTACCAGTGCGTTGCGGAGAACAAGCATGGCACCATCTACGCCAGTGCCGAGCTGGCCGTGCAAGGTAAGGCCCTGGGAGGCCAAGGATGTCCCCAAGGACACACAGATGGAGATTTTTGTAAACACACAAACACTGCAGCATTTCTAAATACACATACCACTGGCAGTTCCCCTTGGTTTTCCTGACAGCTTCTGAGTAGAATTCAGGGCCTTAGAAAGCGACCAGAGGACAGGGTCTCTGGCTTGTTCCTTTGGGGCGAGGGTAAAGTGAATGTTTGCTGCGGTGAAAAAACAGATGGCAGAGTCACTGGAAACCAAATCAATTAGATTTGTAGTTTAAACCAGCCCCCTGAGCTATGTGACCTTTGCAACTTACTTAATCTCTGTGTCTCCATTTCTTGATTTATAAAATATGGGCAATAGTTGTCCCGCCCTCAGACAGCTGTCATCAGCAGTAAATGAGATAGAGGTGGAGCATAAAGGACCTGCCTGGTACGTAACCCTGTAAATGCCCAGGACCTCTCAGCTGGCGCTGGTGTTCTCAGTTCGTGACTTGAACATGTGCAGTCTGTTTCCTCATCTGTAACACAGATAGAAAACCTAAGTCATCAAGTTGTAGCAAGGCTTGACTAAGATTCATTCATTCACCCAATCTTTATTCAACATCCCCTAAGGAATGAACACAAAAGATAAGGTCTGCTACCTTCAAGTATCTTATAATCCAGTGGAGAGAGAGAGAGGGAGAGATAATCACGAAATCAAATAATTAAATAAAATAATCTCACACAACCATTAATGATGCAGTGTAAAGGAAATCCATTAGAGTGGCGGGAGGCAGGTGAGCCAGTTAGATGTGCCGGGCAGCAAGTGACCTGAATGTTGAGAAGGAACCAGCCATGTGAAGGTCTGGAGGACTCCCAAGCAAAACATGTGGCAAGTGCAAAGGTCCTGAGGTGGGAAAAAACTTGGCATCCTCAAAGGGCAAAAAATGGCACAGGTGGCTGGAGCATCCGGAGTGAGGGAGAGTGGAGCCAGGCATGGTAGGAGAGGTGGGACCTTATTTATGTGCCCTTGTGAGGGCTGGACTTCATTCTGATTGCCTGATTGTTTGTAAGAAGATATTCCTGGCTGCTGAGAGGCGAAGAGACTGTGGAAAGAAAGTACAAAAACAAGACCAATCAGGAGGCTTTCCAATGGTCCGGCAGGAGTTTTGCTGGCTTGGACCAGCGTGGTAGCAGTGGGGGCAATGAGAAGGGGCTGGATTCTGGATGTTTTGGGGCGGTGCGGCCAGGCGTCGCTCATGGGCTGGCTGCTGAGGGTACGTAGTGGCCAGGTGACGTCTTAATCAAGGGCAACGGGTACGGTTATGACTCCTGGGGTGCTCTCCTTTCCTTCCAGCACTGGCCCCTGACTTCAGGCTGAACCCCGTAAGGCGTCTGATCCCCGCGGCTCGTGGGGGAGAGATCATGATCCCGTGTCAGCCCCGGGCAGCTCCGAAGGCCGTGGTGCTTTGGAGCAAAGGCACCGAGATTTTGGTCAACAGCAGCAGGTACGATCCCCACCGCACCCCGAGCGATTCCCGCGCCTCCTCGTCCGCCCTGGAGGTGAGCCCCTCCCCGTGAGGACAGTGTGGGTTGGCCAGACCTGCTCTCTCCGTGCTGCAGAGTGACTGTAACTCCGGATGGCACCTTGACCATAAGGAACATCAGTCGGTCAGACGAAGGCAGATACACCTGCTTCGCCGAGAACTTCATGGGGAAAGCCAACAGCACGGGCATCCTGTCCGTGAGAGGTGAGGGATGTGCTCTGGCTGAGGCTGGTCGGCCCACCCACACAGGGTGCCAGCCCCCTCGCCATCCTGCTCGTGTGTTGCACCTTCCTCCTAGCTTGGCTTTGAGGCTACCCCAGCATTTGGTTTCGTTTGGGACCACCCCCTCTTCACCATCCAGAATCTGCTCCCGTGTCCCTCCCACACACTTTCGGGGCTGCCAGGAGGTCAGGGTCCTGCTGGCCCCACCACCTCTTCTTTCCTGGGGCTTAGGACAAACTGTCTCCCCTGCCCTGCTGCCCCTGTCTGGGCCTGTCTCCTCTCCCACCCGCCCAGGGTCTTGTTTCTCTTGGCAGATGCAACCAAGATCACTCTAGCCCCCTCGAGTGCCGACATCAACTTGGGAGACAGCCTGACGCTGCAGTGCCATGCCTCCCACGACCCCACCATGGACCTCACCTTCATCTGGACCCTGGATGGCTACCCCATCGACCTCGACAAGCCCGGGGGTCACTATCGGAGGGCCAACATGGTAAGGGCTGAGGCAGGAGAACCCATAGCTCCCCCACCTCCTGGATGGACCCAAGATGTTCCCCTCCGCCCCCAAAACCTTACCCCGTTCCCTCAGCAGCACCGTGCCTGGGAAGCTCAACCCTGGATTGATAACTACCCTCCCCTGGTAGGCAGTCCCCTGCATGCGTCAACAAGAGAGTTAAGGACAAACCTGGACTCCAGAAACGCAGCAAGACTCACTCCCTGCTGCCAGTCTTACTGCCCTGCCCCCAGTGCCCATGACGTCATTCATGGGGACCATCACTGTCTGTCTTCTGTGATGAAGTCCTCAGTGGTACTAAGTGGGACGGAGCTGTCACCACCCACGGAACAAAGAGGAGCACTGAGCTGCAGAGAGGTCCGGCCTGGTGTCTCATGGCCCACGCCACTAGCCAGGGCCACTTCCTTTGACCACCCTGCCTCCTATCCCCCGTGTGCAGAAGGAGACGGTTGGGGATCTGACCATACTGAGCGCCCAGCTGCACCACGGCGGGAAGTACACGTGCATGGCCCAGACGGTGGTGGACAGTGCGTCCAAGGAGGCCACAGTCCTGGTCCGAGGTGACGGGGTTTCCCACCCCGACCCCACCCCTTGGAGGCCAGCTGGGCTAGTCTGACCTTCGTTCCCTAACTCCCCTCGTCTCCCTGAAAGCTGTGGGGAAGGGCTTCTGGCGGAGGAGTCCTGAGCTGAACTCATCCTGTGGTTCTTCAAGGGCCCTAAATGAATAGAATATCCTTCCTGCAAAGCCACAGTTTAAAAAATCCATTCCAAACACATCCCAAGACTGGAGAACTTCGCTGGGCCAGGAGTTTTCCAAGGCTAGTGCTGGGAAATCTGTACACGTCTCTGCGAGGGCCTCTGCAAGCGCCAACAGCCTTGCACCCATGTCCCCCGGCAGGAGCCTCCCCCGTCCTCCACTCCCGCCCCCAGTCCTCGCCTCCCACCAGGGTCTGTTCTCTGCGTCCTCTGCTGCTCCCTCTTGGCACTGCACCAGCCCAAGCAGGCCTGGAAGAGGATGGCTCCAACTTGAAGCTGCTCAGTTCTAACCCGGCTGTGCTCTGATCTCTTGGTGCAGGTCCTCCAGGCCCCCCGGGAGGCGTGGTGGTGAGGAATATTGGCAACACCACTGTCCAGTTGAGCTGGAGCCGTGGCTTCGACAACCACAGCCCCATTGCCAAGTACACCCTGCAAGCCCGCATCCCACCTGAAGGGCCGTGGAAGCAGGTTCGGACCAGTAAGTGTGAGACCCCTCCTGGGCCGGGACTGGTAGGCCTGGCTGTATGCTGAAGGTGGGTGCCTGGGGGTCCGGAGGGCTGGGATGAGCCGGGAGCCTGAGGGACTCCCTTAGGCCCTCTACCTGCAGGGAGCTCCCAGGCCACAGGGGGACATGGTCACGTGGCCAGCAGGGCTGGGAGGGACTGGAGGAGGAGGGGTCCAGTCTGTGCCCTGGAAGCATTAGAAAGACCATCGCTGGGGCTATGAAAACTTTCCTGGGGGTCGCAGGCCGCAGGCAGCATTACCAGAGGCTCCAGGGCAGGGAAGTCTACTAGTTCCCTGGCCATTCTGAAAGTGGCATTTAGGACTCAGTACATGGCAGGCGCCACCACGAGGCCTGGACACACAGGTGATCAGGCCCAGGGCTGCCCTTTCCATCCAGACTGATGAACGGGAGCCCCAACACTGAGTCCCTGGTGCCTTGCAGATCCCGCCAACATCGAAGGCAACGCCGAGACCGCCCAGGTGCTGGGCCTCACACCCTGGATGGACTATGAATTCCGGGTCTTAGCCAGCAACATCCTGGGCACTGGGGAGCCCAGCGCGCCCTCCAGCAAAATCCGGACCAAGGAAGCAGGTCAGAGTCCTGGGTGTCCCAAAGAGCAGTAACGTCAGGGCACAGGCGCAGCCCTCCTTCAGAGAGCCCCGTGCAAGCAGCAGTTAGGCGGCGTTCCGGCCCTGCTCGCTTGCCAGGCTTCAGTCTCCTGCAAAAGAGCTGAGCGAGGCGTGCAGGTCTGCGAGGAGCTGCTGCCCCACACAGCCTGTCGCAGCGGGACGAACACTCCCCACCCCCCCAACCCCCCCCAACCAACCCCTTACTTAAAGCCTGGGCAGACCTTACCACTGCATGTGAATCTACAGTTATCTCAAAATAAAAAGTTTGTTTAAAAAAATGGGAAAAGCAAATTTTGGAGAAAGGCAGAGCCAGGACTTGAAGCCAGCCCTGTGGGGCGATGCCCTCCCTGGAAGCACATGAGCTTCCTGATCAGTCAGGCAGGCAGGGGGTGTGCATGTGTGGCAGGAGGCTAGCGGAGCAGCCAGGGTCTCTAGATCCTTCTTCAGCTGTTTTTTTTTGGGAACAGGGGAACGGACAATCTGCCCAAACCCCCAGGCCAGGAAAGGCAGGCAGGCGTCAGAGCCTGAGTGAGGAAGGGAGGGGAGGGAACCCAGCAGAGAGCGGGCAATGCCCACCCTCTGAGCCTTTCATGGAGGAAGGCCCTGAATGAGAGCCCCGGGACCCCAGACCAGCGACTGGAAACAGGACCCTACCTCCCATCCCCTGGCCACCCAGGCCTGCCCCACTGGGTGTGTCATGGGGTCTGCCTTCCTGTGCACTTAAACATGGTTTCCTGTATGCCCAGGCTTTTTCTGGAATCATTCAGCATTTAATCTGTACTTCTCCCGAGTTAGGAATTCGAGAAAGAGCACTTCTTTTGACTGAACTTCTTAGAGAGATCAGTGAAGGAGGGGAGTGGTCCTCGCTGTCGGGCCCCAGGAGCTGATGAGCACAAAGCACAATGCTCAGGAAAGACGACGGGCTTTGCAGGCAGAACTGAGTTCAAATTGGAATGGCGCTATTTATTAGCTATGTGACCTTAGCACGTCACTTAACCACTCTGGGCCTGTCTTTCCACTCTGAGAAGGGTAATAGTAACACCCACCTCATAGGATCAAACAGGCAATGTGTTTAAATGCCCCTTGCAAATTACAAGGGCCCAATCTATCGTCCTCAGACCCAAGTGATGAGTCTCCAGTTGCTGGATTCTCTGTAGAACTATTTTGACCCTCAGCCAAGTTACCCCCTGCCAAGCTTTATGATCTGATTAAAAACATTCTTGTTTTAGTATCAGCCTTGTTGAATACTAGAGACAATGAGAATTAAATCTGCCACAAAAAGAAAATAAAATAAAACACTTTGTAACCCAAAAGAAATGTTTTTGCATTAACTGCAAAAACTGGATTATTCCCTTTAATTTAAAGCAAACTGGAATTGGTCTCTGTTAGTTTAAATGACAGGAGGGAAGAGGACAATCATTTATGGAGTATCTAATATGTATATATGCCAGACACCGCCTTGTAATTCTATTCTTCTTACAGCCCTTTGAGAGAAACAGTATTAACCTCATCCTGTGGAGAGGGGAATCTGAGCCTCAGAGAGGTTAACTGACTTGCCCAGGGCAACACAGCTAGTAAGTGGCGGAGGTGGGATTTGATCTCCAGTCTGCCTGACTCCGGAGCCCACATCCTGAGGGATGCTGGAGGGCAAAACCAGGGCCCATCTGAACAGGTGTCCCTGTCCCAGGATACTTTGCAGGGATCAGCACGGGGTTTTTGTCCCCTCACTGCCCATTAACGAGCCACGTCTGTGTCCCTTGGCCCTGACAGCTCCCACAGTGGCACCCTCAGGACTCAGTGGAGGTGGTGGGGCCCCTGGCGAGCTCATCGTCAGCTGGACGGTAAGCTGCCGGGACAGACAGAAACGTGCCTCCGGTTCTCTGGGGAGCCCAAGCCCCGCCCCTCCTCCCCAGGCCCCCAGTCCTGACTTCCCTTGGCACTTGAGCGGCAGGCAGGGAGGACCCAGACAGGGCCACTGTGCAGTCCCAACTCGGGGGCAGACAACGTCCTCCCCTCCCCTGGCACCTGCTGCAGGGACCGAGTCCTGGGGCTGCCCCTCTCGGTGGAGGGTGGGCGGGGCCAAGGATGGGCAGGGAAACGCACCCGCGGCCCCTCGCCCACGCCCCGCTCTTGCCCCCCAGCCCATGTCACGGGAGTACCAGAACGGAGACGGCTTCGGCTACCTGCTGTCCTTCCGCAGGCAGGGTGGCACTAGCTGGCAGACCGCCCGGGTGCCGGGCGCCGACGCGCAGCACTTTGTCTACAGCAACGACAGTGTCCGGCCCTACACGCCCTTCGAGGTCAAGATTCGCAGCTACAACCGCCGTGGGGATGGGCCCGAGAGCCTCACTGCGCTGGTGTATTCAGCTGAGGAAGGTGGGCCACTCTGGGCCCCTAAACGTCCCACCCCACTGCTCATCCAGGGGGTATAGATGGGGAAAGTGCTGCTTGCACCCCTGCTCATTCCGCAGCTGAGGGTCAGGAGGACCCGTGGGCCCCGAGCCTTGGCCTCATTTCTGGTCCCTGCTACCCTGTCCTCCCCTCAGGCCTGGGGGAGGGAGAAGGGAGGCGCTCAGGGAAAAGAAGGGGGCCTGGGGGATGCTCTGGGAACCCCTGCATGGCCTTCATCCTGGGTTTAGACTCTAAAAACCTAAGCAAGGGGAGTCCCGGTTGGTGGATGTGGGGAGGCCCTGGGAATCCAAACCCATTCTGTATTGGTCCCCAGAGCCCAAGGTGGCCCCTACCAAAGTCTGGGCCAAGGGGGTCTCATCCTCAGAGATGAATGTGACCTGGGAACCCGTGCAGCAGGACACGAATGGTATCCTCCTGGGGTACGAGGTGAGCACCGTCCTGGGGCTAGGTGGGTAAGGGGCGCAGGGGCTTCATGGCTGGGGCACTCACAGCTCTCTGGTCACCCTTCTGGAATCTCTCATTCACAAAACCACAAACAGCATGCAGTCTATGCGGCACTGGGGGTACAACCTTTGCCCAGCCCCCATAGTGGCTGCCCTCCCTGTTGGAGGCCTGGACATAAATGCATGGCTAGAGCCAGCACTGGAAGCCGGGCCAGGCCCAGGGGAGGAAGAGCAGGTTCTGGAAGGGGTATGGCCTGTCCCTTCATGCCAGAGCCTGGCATCCTCGGGGCTGCAGAGGACACATGGCCCCTCTATGTACCAGTTGACTGTCCTGTCCCTGGAGAACTATAGGCCCGGCAGTTTTTGTCCTGAGCCCTGGCCCACGGAGCACCAAACACAGAGGTGCGTGTGCAACAGATGGAGAGGGAGAGGGAGCATGTGGAGAGGAAAGAAGGAAAGCAGGGAATGCCATTGCCTGAAAAAGGGGCACCGGTGGGCCACTCGTGCTGCTGTAGGTCCTTGCCTGTGGAGTTAGCTCTGGGGTTCAGCCCAATAGGTCGGGCAAGCCCCACTGAGGAGATAACTCCAAACTTTGCCCTTGATTTGGAAGAATATTTAGCAAGTCTTCATATTATAATGACTATTAAAATGGCTTGTACTTATGGGGCAGCCATGGTAAGCTTGCCAGAGGTTGGTGGACAACCTCCGAAGCAGATATGCATTTCATACCCTTAGCAGAGTCCCCAGGGGCGTCTGAGTCAATGACATGGGGTTGGGCTCCAGCAGGCCGCAGCTAGGCTGAGCGTGCCGCCGTCCTCCCCACCCGCTCACTCGCTCCCGCACCCAGCCTGGGTACTGAGCACCCGGAAGGCAGAGCACCTCACACCAACTGGTCCCTGGAGCTCGTGGTCTAGTGACCGGGTTCTGAGCCCCGAGACTGAGTCACGGGGACCACAGTGAGCAGGTGGCCGGGGTCAGGATAACCCTGAGGTCCTGGCTTGACAAGTGACCCTAGGGTACCCCTGCCCCCTCCAGATCCGTTACTGGAAAGCTGGGGACAAAGAAGCAGCCGCGGACCGAGTGAGGACAGCGGGGCTGGACACCAGTGCCCATGTCACTGGCCTGCATCCCAACACCAAGTACCATGTGACCGTGCGGGCCTACAACCGGGCAGGCACTGGACCCGCCAGCCCTTCCACCAATGCCACAACCCTGAAGTCCCGTGCGTCTACGGCATGGGGGTGGGGTGGCTGGGTGAGGGGTGCCTCTAGGACCATTTTTTCCCCAAAGAGAAGACAAATGGGCTGGACAGAAACAAGGCAGCAAGCCTAATGAAAATAAGGGAGCAGAACTCATGGCCCAGAAGCACCTCTCTCTTCTCCAACCTTTCGGTTTCCATGCGGGTTGTTAACAGGCAGCTGTGACAGCATGTTCTGGGTGTAACTGCCATGGGCACACATCTAGAAAAGGGTTGGCCAGAGGCAAGGGGGTGGTGGTGAGGAAATGTGTGCAAGTCTCCCCAACTCTCTCCCTTCTCTGGCAGCTCCGCGGCGACCTCCTGGCAACATCTCCTGGACTTTCTCGAGCTCCAGTCTCAGCATTAAGTGGGACCCCGTGGTGCCTCTCCGGAATGAGTCTGCTGTCACTGGCTATAAGGTAAGGGAGGGGTCAACCAGGCCTTGAATGGTAAGGGATGGTTCATCCGCATGTCCGGTGAACACAGGGGACTGCAGTTCATAGCAGAACGGATCTGAGTCAGACATAAGCAAGAAGTTTGTGATTGTGAGAGGCATGGAAGACAACGGGTGCCCCAGGTAGTTTTAGCAGACTAAGAAAGGGAGATAGACGGTGCTCCTGTAGAGAGGCAGGGTGCATGGGCTGGCAATGGACTGGGTGAGGTCTGCGCACCCTTCTGGCCTGAGGAGTCTGGAAAAACCACTCAGCTGCCTCCAGCTTTCCCCGCAGTGAGGAAGGAGCTTGTTCAAGAGCCTGGGCCTGCTCAGTGGGAAACAGGAGAGGCGGGACCCTGTGGGCCCACACCCATGGCTCCCCCCAGTGCCGAGCCGGGGAGGAGGAGAATCAGCTCTGGTGAGTTAACTCACGCAGCTAACCTCCTCCCGCAGATGCTCTACCAGAATGACCTACACCCAACTCCCACGCTCCACCTCACCAGCAAGAACTGGATAGAAGTTGCAGTTCCCGAAGACATCGGCCATGCCCTGGTACAGATTCGGACCACAGGGCCAGGAGGGGACGGGGTCCCAGCAGAAGTCCACATCGTGAGGAATGGAGGTGCCGTCTCTCCCCACCCCATCCCCCAGGAGGCAGGGTCCACCCCGATGCCTGATGAAGGCTCATTCCCACCCAAGCCAAGCCCAACCGAGCCAGGCCCCAGGGTAAAGGGGAAGGTAGGCAGGAACCAGGGGCAGAGCAGTCCCGGATCTGCCCTGGCACCCCTCCTCCCCAGCACCCCAAAGTCCCTGGGAGGTGCGTGCTCTCCTTTCTCGGTGTCAGGGGGAACGCTGGTGACCAGCAAAAGGGAAGGTCCTGCAAAATGCTGCAGGAGTAGGGCTGGGAACACCTCCCAGTCGTGCAGGCGGCCCTCTGGGAACATGCTTAGGAAAGTCCGCATCTGGTTGTGAGGCTGGGAGGGCCGGGCTCGTCCGAGGCGCAGCCGACTCAGCCCACACTTCTGCCTGCTGGTTTCAGGCACAAGCATGATGGTGGAGAACTCGGCAGTCGGCCCGGCCCCTCCTCCCGGCACCATCCTCTCCCACTCCCTGGCGATGCTGGTCCTCATAGGCTGCCTGGAGCTCTGATCTCGGCACCACTGCCTCTGCCACAGCCGGACACCCACCTCCAACGGACATAGCCAGCTGGTCCCAGTCCCTTCCTGATGCCAAAGTGGCCCAACACTGTGCCTGAGAATGGCTGGTTTTCAATACCTACTTTACACAGTGCCCTTTTCGCAGGAGGTAGGGTATTTCATATTCTGCCACAGGACAGAGCCCATGCAAGGATTTTTTTTCTTTAAACTGAGAGGCACCGGGCTAACTTCCATGATGAGATTGAGCCCTATGCCTGGGCCCTCTAGGGTGCCTAGATGGAAGGAACAGGCCAATGGGAAGGAGGAGGTTTGACCCTGGATGTGCACATCTGTGAAGACGGCACCCTGGGACCACAGACCCTGCCCCCTGCAAGCAGAGTCCTCGGCCTGGTGGGAACTCTGGACACAAGCAGGCTCAAGTGGGACGAAGCACCACCCCAAGCATGCCCTGGTCTAAGAGGCGGCCAGACTCTCGAGCCAAGGACACTCCTGGTTTCTCAAGGGCCAGCCCGGCTGGACCCTGACATTGTCCTGGACGACTCCTTAGAGGCCCCTGCCACCTGCCAGGTGGCTGAAAACAAGTGCCCTGATGTCTGAGGCCAGGAGCCTGAGCCCCTGCAGCTTTGGGGGACAGCACTCCACGCTGCTGGGGGTGGGAGCTGAAAAGGCTTTGAGAAGCTGTGACACCTGGTGGAAAGGGGCACCAGACTTGGCCTGAGGCACAGTCACAGTTGAGGTGTCACCCTCATAGCCAACACTGCCAACCCGGCCCTGTCACCCCCAGTGACAGGAGCCACTATATGTGGCTGGGTGACTAAAGGGCTTGTCTTGGGGAGGTGCCTCACCCCACCAAGACCCATCCCACACAGTCTCCCCAGGATTGGCCAGGAGACAGGAGCCAGGGTGGGGGTCCTGCGCCTACCGGCTTCCTCCAGCTTGGCTTGCAGGCCCCAGACTCCACCCTCCCGGCACTGACTCAAGCCAGGGGAGAAATGCAGCATTAATCCCAGGTCCCCAAGTCGGGAGTCTTCTGGGAATGGCAAAGGATAGCTGGTCCTGCCTGCTCCCAGGAATAAGCTGGACCACCTGGCAGGACCCGTCCCCCAGCTGCCTCTGACCACTGTTTGGCATTTCCCCAGAGGAAAAGGGGTTAATAAATGGGACCTCCTACATTGGGCTCTGGGTATACCACCAGTCACAGAACGTCAGAGCTGAAAAATGCTTTAGAGCTCAGCTGGCCCAAGTCCTTCCCTTTACAGATGAGGCATCGGAGGTCAACAGCGTTAGGGACGTCCCAAGGGTCCCAAGGTCACACAGCCCGTCCTACCTTCCTGTTCCAGGCTCTGTCCAGAAGGAGGCTCTGCTGAGCGGCCACAGCCCGTTAGGAAGGGCAGTGAGCTATGAGCATTCTGCTCCAAGAGGTGTGGGTGGGTGCGTGACCACGGGGTGAACGGCACGACTGGGTCCCAGCCCAAGGCGTGGGCAGACTCCAGGAGACATTCTGTCCTGAGCCTAGTTTCTGTAGTTTACAGTTAGAGCTCTATTTTGTTATGATTTTTTAAACATTTAGGTCCTGCTCTATTTTCCTGGGCAGGTTTACATTGTTTCCCATTCCAATTTTTAAAAAGGTAAGCTCACACTTCTCTCTGCCACCACTGTGCCCACCACCGGCCCCAGGCCCGGGCCTCCCTCCCTGCAGCTGCCTCACCTACTCCTGTCCCTCCTCCCATGCCAGGTGCTGGAGGCTCAGCTAAGCCACTGTTCTCCCATCAACGGGGATCCCCCACTTGGTCTGGCATCCATCCTGGGCCCCCACGGCTGTGACTTCGCCTGGACCAGCTCTAACAGGAAGGGGATGCTCAAAGTAGGACACCCTCTGAGACTTAGAGTAAGGGGAAGGGGACAGGGGTCTACATTAAATGTGGGACCAGAGTGGGCTGGTCTGGCGCAGGACCTAACCAGGGAACTGGATGGAGGCTGCTGTCCCCAAGTGTGCCGGAGGCAAAGATACTCCTAGCTAAGTCTTCCTTCTGCTGAGGCCCATTAGCAAAGCGGAGGAAGGCAGACCCTCTGGGAAACCCAGGAAGGGCTTTTAACTAGGAAAACTCAGCCAGGAAAACCTAATCCGGGCAGGTAAGACCTGTTTGGAGGATACAGAACTGTACTCAGATGGATGTTCCTGCAGCCCGAGACCTCGGGTAGGGCACTCAGTGAGGGTTAGTAAGACAGCGGGGACCTGAGGACGTGCCAGCTTGTGAAATGGGAACAGCCTCTTGTTGAGCCTTGTGCAGGAGCTTGTGAGGAGGCAGAAGATGAGACCATGGATACTCCCAGAGTGCCTTCCTGCCCAAGGGGACTCTGATTGTCATCTCTGGTCAGATGGGCTGAGGCTTGCTACTGCTGTGATCATGACTTGACTTTGGACCTCTCCTCTCAGTCACACCAAGCCCCAAGGGCCACAAAGGGGAAAGCCACGAAGTACTTTACCCACAGCTTAGTGGCCAGTAAGTGCCTTGAGGACTAGGGACAGAAACAGCCTGCACACCTGTTCAGGGCTGGGGAGACATGACGGTCTCTCCTTTCTGTATACACCTGGGCTCAGCCTCCAGGGCCCTCTGCCCCTGGCCTCGGCTCCCGGGTCCTCACTGCTCTGTCTGGATCTATACCTACCCTCGAGGGGAGGGCAGCTCTCAGGCAGAGTCTGAGGCCCAGCAAGGTCAGGTGATCTACTGTCATTCCAGGCACTGGTGATACACACGGCGTAGGGGAATAAGAGAGCCATGGGGTGGGGGCGTCTTTCCCTTCGATTAAGTAACAGGAGACTGAGGTTAGACACCAGAAAAAAACAGTAATGAGACCCTGGAATAAGTAAGACCCTGTTTTTTCAGGACGTTGAGTAATTTTGACAGCTGTTGCTCTGGGATCTAGGTTAGATGATGGCTGGGTGGTGGGGGAGAGAAGCTCTAAGGATCCTTCCACAGTGGCGACTCTTAGAGCCAAGCGGTGCCCAGAACAGGAGTTGTCTGGGAGCTCCTGTCTGTTGTGGCCCTGGTCACGAAGGTGGAGGGCCAACCCCTGGGCCTTCTTTTCCTGGGATACACTGCCTCTTGGCAGGCCCAGGAGCCATGTACTCCACCCTGAGCAAGAGCCCAAGCTAAGAATGTTTCACTCTCTTCACCTCTTCCCCAGCGGAAGGATGCTTTTCTCTTCCTGGTCTCAGGAGTGACCAACTGGGCTCCTTTGGGAGGGAAAACAGTATCCCTCAATTAGGGTTTGAGGCCTGCGTGTGCTGTCCTGTTCCTCCGGGTCAGACCTAACATAACCCGGACTGCGTCCCGGGGGGCGAACAAAGTTGCCAGACAGGCTCCTGGAGTGATGGGCATTTATAAGGGACTCGAAGAGCTCCTCGGAAATAGGTGCTGGTAGCTGTGGTCACAGGCTTTGGGAGGGCAGGAAAATAAGGGGAAACTGGCAGGGGAAAAAATGGGTCAGCTAACTTGGGCCCAGGAAGCCCCGGTGCCTTTCGATGGGGCAGAGCCTGCCTTGTCCTGGGACTCCAACTTACCCACCCCATTTAGGGTCCGCACAACAGGAAGGCTCACGCTAGGCAAGGGCGAGGACTTCACTGGACACTGACTGGACCCACTTTTCGTTAAAACGGAACCCCTCCCACTGGCCTATTGTCTGTCCCTCTTGTACTTCTTGTAACAGTAGTTATTTATTGACTCTGGTAGCAACAGTTCTTAAATAAAGATGGCTGCTCAGCCTGCTGAGGCAGCGGGCACCAGCTGTGGGCGTTTCTGTCTTGGGGCTAAGGCATGCCTCCTTGTCCTGCTCCCTAACCCAGGCCGTTATCCAAAACCTTCACTCTCCACAAGGTCAACTCTAAGGTAAAGTCACAGCACACAGGCCACATTGCTTCATTCAGCCCTGGGAGGGGCGCAAATTAGGCAGAGTCTGGAAGCGGGACCCAGGAGGCAATCTGCCGGAATGAGCGGCCTTTCCTGACATACCACGGGCTGTGCACAGTGCCCGTGTGACGGCGCTTCGTAGTGTTCCCTGGTTTTCAGACACTTGAGGTACTCACTCAACAGTACCGCAGGGACACCTCCTCCCTGCAGAGAGAGAGTGGCCCCGCTGGACGAGAAGGTGCCTCTAGTCTCTGCTCACAGCAGCCAGAAGGATTTGAACTCTCAGCCACATTTCCCAGCAGCAACATTCTCTAATGCATTCCACAAACCTTCATCACGCCATCTGGAATGCACAGGGATACGCCTGCGCAGCCCCGGAAGTGCTCTACCCGTGCTGAGCAGGTAGGGCTCCGTGCTCACCGTGCCCACAGCCTTCCTCAGAGAAGAGGGAGACGAAGGCAAGCAGAGGCCCCACGACTCAGCGCTTAGCTGCGAGCCCAGGGCCTGCTCAGCACAAGGAGCCCAGCTGACAGCAAGCCCCCAGAAGGGGTCAGCACGGCTACGGCACCCAACAGGCTCATTCCTTCCCTTTGCACCCAAAGGGGCTGCTGGGAACCCAACTTTTAGTCCAGTCAGCATTTCCTTGATCACACACACAGAATTTAGTGCAATAAACTGGGTTTTGGTCTTTTACTAACACCCCTGAGGGTCGTTTGTTCTTTTCTGTGTTCAGTCCTTCTGTACCCTCAGAGTCCAAATCCAAGAGCCCAGGGCACAGAGGGGTATAATCTACAGCAGCACAACACTCCATCCCACGCTTGCTACTGGCTGTGACAGAAAGCTGGAGAAGTTGTTTAGCTCTTCTTGGGTCTCGGCTTCTCAATCTGTAATATGGGAAACTGTACCCTTCAGTCCTCCTCCCTCCTCAGCGACATAATCTTCAGTTCATTAGATACAAAGACATTAACATGCTACGGTCTTTTAAAGTGTAGCAAGGTCTCTCCTGCTTCAGCAAATTGACCAGCACTGAACAAATGACTCCTTAGTGACACGTCCTGACTCACATCCAGTCCTTCACCTGGCGAAGCTCACACACAAGATCTCACCCGATCCTCATGATCACATTTCAGAGATGAGGACGACGGGTCAGTTAGCTCACTCCGCTGCACAATCACCGGCAGAACTGGGAACAGAACAGTCTTCTGAAACCCATCCTCTCAGAGGTGGAGAGAATGGGGGACAGTGTGTGGAAAACCCTAGATCTTTTCAAAGAGGATGAGTAAAGACTCCCTAAGCATGGGCCTACTATACCAGTGGTTCTCAGTCTTTGCAATACATCCACCTTTACATTATATCTATAAAACTTCTGAAAAACAAAGATACTTTGAATTAATGATTTACATAATCTAGGACACTGAAAGGGCCTAGAAGCAATTACTCCCCATGGCAATGAGTGCATTTAGCACCTAAATCTTGGGTTTCTAAATACTACTCCCCACACTAACAGGAACCAGAGTCCCTTGAAGAAACAGCAGATTCGGGTTTGGAAGAAATAAGGTCCAAATGTGGATCCGAGCCATTTTGCTGTTCTAGAAAGAAAGGACATGCTCAAGTCAAATGGGACCACATCAAAAGGACAAAAGAGCTGGCTTGAAGGGATGCCTACAGACCAAAACTGGACAATTTGAACATGAAAAATGACCACAGTTATGGATGACATGTAATTCACTGAATAAAAGAAAATTCATTGAGACCTCAAGATTAAAGAGTAAAAAGTACATTTTCTTTGTAGAAAAATGCTAGCTACTAAATCTAGAAATGATGAATTTAAAGAGTCACCACTTTCCAATCCTCAACATACAGTCAGGCAAGGATTAGGGATTCCAGAACGTCGGTGAACAGTTTTTAGAAAAGCCAGTAATCCCAAAATATCACTCCACACACTACTAATTACAAAGGGGAAATATATATAACATTGGAGAGCTCTAGCAGTCACCACCTCAAATGATCAAGCCTGTCATCCACAGTGGGTCACTCTGACATCGTGCATCTCCTGAGCTGATGCAATAAGTACATGTCGTCATTTACACAGGGCTCTTGTCAAAAATGTGTAAAATCCATTCCTCAGGAACCTAATCAAGAGGAAATGACAAATCCAGACACTATCCAAGACAGCTGGCCTAGCTAAACTCTTCAATAAAATCGATGTTATGAAAACCAGCAACAATAACTGCAGGGATCTGTTCTAAAATAAGACTTAAGAGAAATAACCAAATATAGTATGTGAATCATTTGATCCTGGGCCAAAAATGAGATTAAAAAGCTCTAAGATTTTAGAAATTGAGGAAACAAAATAGCAACCAAAGAAAAGAGAAGGGAATTGTTCTCTTAGGTGTGATGGACACTGAGTTATACAGAATGTCCTTATTGGAAGATGCTAATGTTTTAAGAAAAAGGGGTCACAATGTCTGTGACTAGCTTTCAAGTGGCTCAATCAAATCAGTGTGTATTTAGAGAGAAATATAACTGCAGCAAAACATTCACAGCTGGTGAATCCTGTTAAATTGTCTCTGGGTGTTATCAAACCTTTCAACTTTTCTCTGGGTTTGAAACTTTCTAAAATTAAAAATAGAGGAAATAATATAAATCCATTGACCATAATTTAAACTGAAGTAGCATCCTCAGGGTTAGTAGTGTGTGGAGTGATATTTTGGGATTACCGGCTTTTCTAAAACCTGTTCACCAACGTTCTGGAATCCCTAATCCTTGCCTCATGATATGATGAGGATTGCAAAGTGGTGAGTCTTTAAACTCATCATTTCTAGATTTATTAGCCAGCATTTTTCTACAAAGAAGATGTACTTTTTACTCTTTAATCCAGAGGTCTCAGTGGATTTTCTTTTATTCAGTGAATTATATGTCATCCATAACTGTGGTCATATTTTTCAGGTTTTGAAAAGTAAGGTTGAATCTTATCTTTCAAAAGCTTATTCAGGTGATTCAGACACACAGCTAAAGAGATCCACTCGTCCAAGTCTCGGCTTCCATTCATCCTTCTGCAGCTAGAACAAAGTGAGGGAGTGAGACATGCCCTTTCTCAACAGAATGAGCTCAGCTGGTGGCCAAGAGACTTTCCCTTGCTGGTTCCACAAGCCAATGATCTCAGTCTGAATGGCCTTTAAGGTCTTCAGATTAGATTTCCTAAGGAGGAAAGAAGGTGCTAGTCCTCTCTTAGGGGGCCTCGACTGTTATATGAAGACAATACACTTGACCTTCCCAGGAACACAGGCTTCAGGGCGCCGGAAGGATGGGAGCAGGGTGCACGGCAACAAACTATTCAGGGGAGACCTACCACACAAAGGATCCAGTTTGCCAGCAATCAGTTTAAAACTGAACACAGAGGGTTCACCTGGGGTGTACAGGAGGGGCAGATAATTTATTAATATTTAGTGACTATTATATACCGAAGTCAGATGTCATCACTAACCACCTTGGCTTATGACCCTCTACAAAGCAAGTTGTTCAATGTCTATTCTAAGATATTTGAAGAAAATAAAGCCAGACCAATTATGGGACAATTTCAACAAATCTAGGAAAATTTTAACTGAACAGCAGAAAAGCTTATGTCTCCATACAGCTACTGTGGATTATTTTTATTGAAGAGGAAAAAAATGTCTTCACCAGAAAAGCTATTAATATATCCTCTCACGTGATTATACTGCTCAGGAGACGAGAGACGGAGGTGGAGAGGGAGGCACACAAGCTGAAAATGAACGCGAGCTTGGAAGACAGAACTCTTCTCATGGGCAGGAGCAGGGAGGTGCCCACAGTCAGGCTCCCTGGGTACCTAGAGGGCAGGGAAGATGAGGAAGAGGTCCGTCTAGGACACACAGAAGGTACGGACTACTGCTCACAGCTGCCACGCTGCCGCCTCGCTCTACATCCCCCACTCGTTCTTTTGGCAGCAGCAGCCCTTCCTCTTGACTGATCCACAGTCAGGCAGCCAGAACTCTGCCCTCAAAAGCTAGCTTGGCATCTTGGGCAGCCAGCTCAGCTTCCTGAGCAGCCAGTCCAGACCCCCAGGCGGCCAGCACTTCAGGAACAAGGCCTGCAAGGCCTTCAGGCGGGCACCACCGCAGCTCGCCATCAGCCCACTGCACAGGACAATGCTCACCAGCACACCACCAGCTACGCCGCAGGCAATTCCTATTCCCAAGGCCAGAGGCACCTTCTTTCTCCATGGTGGGTGGTGAGGCCTGGAATAGTTGCCCAGACTTACTTCCAGGCCCTTATCTACTAGCTTCTGATCCTCAGTAAGGGACTGATGGAAATTCAGGCTCACTAAGTTAGGAGGAAGGACCCTCAGCCCAAAATAGAGCCTCTTGACAAGCCTCAAGTTCTTTAACAGCAGCACATCACACCGGTAGGTCCCAGAGTCATATTCCTGAGCAGATCGAAACTTCACAAAGTGGGACCTGGCACTGAAGGGCTTGAAGACCTCATCGTCAGTTGAGATGATGCCCCGAGCAAGTCGCCAGGTGAACCAGAAAGCTTCCTGCCCGACCTCCAGGGTGTCTGCACTCAAACAGCTCAGCTCCAATTCCTCCCCCACGAGAATGGTGAAATGGAGCATCCCACAGACCCAGTTGGTCAGACATTCCAAGCGCTGAGATTTACATTTCCTCCTCACTCCATCAGGGCCCACCTCGCAGACCGTCTCCTGCTTATAGCCAAGGCCGCAGGTGACAGTGCAGGGTGTGGCACTGACCACAACTTTCCCCACAGCCTGTTGTAGCTTCTCTGGGATGGCCAGGATGTTAGGTGAAGTCACCACCAAAGGCAGACAGGCAGCCAATACCAGGCTGCCAAGGAGGAAATCCACGGCCAAAGCCTTCATATGCCAGTGGGCGTTGCACCACCGTTAGCCAGCACCCCGGTGTATTCCGGTTGAATCCTCCACGAGGGTGTAACTGAACTTCAAGGCAGGAGTTCCTCCCAAGCTACCAGATGGCATGCACAGGTTGTAGATGAAACACTGCAGCCCACACAGAAGTCCAGTCCTTACTGACAGGTGAGGCCCCAGCAGGGAAAAGAGTCACTCTGTTGCTGCGTCACTGCCTCTGCTGGTAACCACCTTCCCAGTCTTCATTCTTTTCACATCCTTTTAATGAATTTAAGTCCACCTCTTGGGAAGACAAAGATGACAAGGCTTCTGAAGCTGACGTGAATTTCCAAATGAGCTCAAATGCCTAGTGAAGCTATAGGTTCTTCCCACCCTTTCTCCTCCCCTCCAAATTGTGGGATCTAAAAGGTTACAAAAGCTCAGTTAAATCTGACCAAATAAGAAATCAAATACCAAGTGCCAAAAAAGAGGATTAACCTGAATTATTACAGACCTTAAATGCTCCTAAACCTTCTATAAAATATTGTGAGGCAAGTGACTTATCCTTCCTGAATGTCCATCTCCTCCTTTGTAAATGAAGACCTCCTTGCCAATTTCAGGAAGGTCACTTTGAGAATCAAATGATAAACTGCACATGAGAACACTTTGTAAAGTGTAAAACACTGGTCATGTGTAAGGAATTTTAAATAGAAAATTCATGAACACAAGGACCAAGATGTCCCTGAAGACTTCGAATGTTATCAGCAAGGAGGTAATACGAAATGCAGCTCCTCTCCCCCGTCCCCGTCTGGGCTCTTCCTTCCCCAAGGTACCGGAGGTACCTTCTAGGGGAGGGGATACGCATCTCTCTCCCCTCCGTCTGTCTGCCTACTCTCTTCACCCTACAGAACAGAGGGAGTCACTGTTCACTGAGTCAAGGTTGCTAAGAAACAGCTCTGATGTCAGTGACGGATTCTCAGTCACATAAAAGATTCACAAGTAGACATGCATATGTGACAGTGATTAAAGTCAAAGACTTAAATACACTTCATGAAACATCTCATTCTTTAGGAGACAATGAGTACTCGATGGGTTTTAAAACTACCTCATCTAGTAAGAAAAGGCTAATAAAGAGCAATTTAACCATACTTACACTTTAAGGAAGACCCTTGGGAAGCTGGAACTTCCTGGCATGTTTCTGTAGCCTCCAGGACGCCTTCCAGCACTGCGGTCTCTACACAATAGTCACATACACACACTGAGCTAAAGGATTTGAAGAGAGATCATTTCTAGATGATGTTTTTAACTTCAACTTTCTGCTTGCACCATCTATTTATGTCCTTGGCTACAGGCAGAAGTCTGGGCTACCTGACCACTCCTGACCCCGCCAGCTCTCTATTTCCACTCAGAGAAAAAATCTGACAGCACAGTGAGTTTTCTGTTGTACAAAGCAGTGGCCAGTGAGTTCCAGAAGTGATCAGTGTCTGCAAACAAACGTCTACACTGTTTCTTTAATAAACATCCATTTTATTTACAAAGCGTTAAAGCTTCAGCAATAAGTACCCAAGGCTAAGTCTCGTCTTGTACAAAACTACAGAACATTAAAAAAAGAAACAGTGGTTGGGGGAGATGACAAAAGGAAGAAGAGAATATGCGTATCTTGTACAAATCAAGAATATCAAACTGAAATGGACAAAAGGTTTTAGGAGCTCAAAAAAAATTCCAGAAGCATAAATAATTATTAGGAGATGCTGCCAGAGATAATGTGCCAGGCTGAAGCTGATTTTTTCTCAGTAGCCTGTTTAGGGGGTGGGCACAGCATTAACACCCAAATGCACAGGGAGAGGGCACCAAGCTGCCCTCATGTGGAAGTAAGGCAGAAATGTTTGGATCGCTCGGTTCGTACACTACTGCAGCGCACGGTACAGACACAAGTGGAAGGGAAGGTCTGCAAAATAAAAACATGCCTAGTGGGCTGCCTACCAATCTCTACCACTGCTCTGCTAAGAAATAAGAGGTGAAATTCACAAACTCAGCCTTTGAGGAAACACTAATGGCATCTAAAAATACATCTTCCAGCCATCTCAGGGACAGCTCTTATTTCAACGACTGAATATTTTGGTTCTGAAAGATGGAATAGGAGACAGAGGCTCTTACTGATGTGTTCTACTTTTATTTCTACCCTAAAATCCAAGAGGTCACCAACATGTGTGGCTGTATCTCCAAAAACAGTGCTTAAACTCTCCTTTGCAAATGCAGTGAAAATGATGACCCAGTCACGCGCTCCCAGCCAACAGCTCTACTCAAGGGCAGTGTGCCTCCTCCACACCTGGTCTCTTTACTCTGGATTTTCAGAGAATTTCAAATACCTAATGTACACATCCATCCAATCTGCTACTTTTTAGATAAAGAAGAGCAAAAGCACAAAGTAAAAATTTAAAAAAATTTTTTAAAAACTAAGCAACCTTTCACAGAAAGGAAGTGACTGAAAACAGGGAGTGAGGAAAAGGATCATGGAGACAAGGGGAAAAATGTGTGACTGATGGGAGGGACAGATATCCTCAAGCAAGGATAAAACAATTTTTTGTCCTTGATCTTCGATTTGAACTGTGTTGCTGCTTTGATTTCGGCTGGTTCTACGTCAGTCCTTGGAGAGATTCCCCTGTCCCAGTAAAAAAGAAGCTTGCTGAGACACCCTGGTTTGTCTCCGTCTCTGGAAGCCAGCACAGACAAAGCAATATAAACTAGTGATGATTCTTGGCTGGGGACGGATGAAACTGGCCATCTTCGGAAGCCATGACTAATGAGAATGAGCCAATACTTGAGGGAAACATGCACTGAAAGGAAAACACAGGAGATCCATAACCCCCCTGCAGCCCAGCTTCTCGAGCAAAATGTGGTACGTTAGGGCAAGGGGGCCTTTCTTATCTTTCTTCCCTTTCTGAAAATGTGAACTCTTTTGAGCACTTTCTTTTCTGCCCCCATCTTTTGTGCACATAGGGAACTACAGGAGTTATCTACTGAGAGAGTTAGTTTAAAATGGAAGAATATGCAACAGGTTTCCTAGGATACTGGGAGCAAAATTTCAGGTAAGAGCAAGTCACTCAAGGACATGCACTGAGGACGAAGGCACACAGGGGACAGGGAATGACGGGTCCAATGATGCCGGGCGCACCGAAGCAGGAGGGGCCAAGGTCTCCGGCAACGTAACTAAGCATTCCGGTTGAGAGTCAAAACTCCCATTTGATGTCTTCACAAATCCTCATTCCTGAGAGCCTACTGGGACTTATCCTTGCAAGGCGGGGACGTATACTCTTCTTCCATAATTCATTTCTTCATTCAAACATAATACTCATTCCATCCACCTCCAGGGCAGGAGGCAGAGGCCTTTGTTTTAAATAAAAGTCACTCTCCAATGACTGACCACAATGTCCAGAGGCCATGTGACGGCGAAGTAGGGAAGAACGCCGAACTTCCAGGGTCTTCACAACAGCTCTGAGATGGCTCCTCCTGCTGGAGATCAGACACAAAAAGATTTCTTTCAGCTCAGACCAGTCACAAGAACAGAAGTGCTGGTGGGCGCCCGACAATGCGCACATGGGTAAGAGCCTCCTTCTTTTCCGTTAAAACCAACTCGATTCCCAATTATTCCTCAATGAGGCGACAAGTAATCCCCACCCCCGCCCCAATTTTCCACAGGACTGCCTCCAAGGGAAAAGAAGTCAAAACGATCAGAGTTCTACATATTTCCTAAGATGGTGACCATTCTCCAAGGTGTCAATAAATAATGCTTTACTATCCAAAAAGCGCAGGAAGCAGAGGAAAGGAAAAGCTAGGGTACCTCATCTTTCAATCTTTCACGTATTAGACAAAATAACCACTAGATGATTAACAATGAGACATTCCTTATATGACATTCTCATCACCTCAGAACCCAAGAAATGGTGAAATGTTCATGAAAACTACTGCTGGCATTTCTATGTGCCAACAGCTGATCAACAAATAAAATCCTTAATAGTAAAATCAAATGAACACTTCCCTGATTATTCCACAGAAGCTCTTCGACCTCTGAGGGACATCCTTGAGTGGGCTGCTGTGGAATATTAACTAGGAAGTGGAAAAAGAGAACACGGTCAAGAACATCCTCCCAGATGCCATCTGGAATGAGGAAGAGCATGCCACTTGAAGGGAAAATGGTTCAGGAATAATCGTCCAACTTGTGAAAGAAAAGTACCCACTTAAACTTTGCTTTTAACCTGATTTTTAAAGTAAAAGTTCAAGCACAGATGAAAACTGGCAGTAAAAATATATTCCCATCTGCCTGAGAGCAAACGAGAAATTAGGAGATACAGACTCTCCTGAATGCTACATTGTTAAAAATCAAATTTAAACTTTGTATACGTAAGATTAAAAGTTTACTTAGTTTTTCAAATCACTCAAAATATAATAAAATCAAGCTCTCAAGTTGATTTTCTAAAAAATCTTGGTATAGAAGAATTTTCTCCACAGGACTTACTACCATGCCTTCACCACTTTAAGGCCAATGTCACTAATTCTTCCTGCAGCTATCCAACCAATCCAGTTTTTTAAGTAAATATTCACTTTTAAAAATGAACACAACATTGACATTTTAACCCTAAGTCATGACAGGGAAAGTAGTTGGGTCACAAATCAAAAGCATTAATGATGCACACTCTCAAGATGACTAATGAGCTACATTCCACTGACTGTCTTGAGTTAGTCCATGTTTCTGTATCACCCTCATTCATGTGCAGGGACAAAAGGCATTGTGAGGCATCAGGCCACAAACTAAAACAGGGCAGCAACACGAGCAAGCAAGACACACAGAGACAGCGGCACAACAGAAGACCTGCCCTGAGGACACATGCTAGACCGCTGCAACCTCAGGGAAAGAAGTCTCCGTCATATACAATTCCGGAGAAAAATTCAGCTCCCGATGAAGAGCTGTTAGTGGTGCCTCCCAACAGCAGCCCGAGCCAAGGGAGCCGAAGAAAACACTGGACATTAATTTTTAAACATTACCTTAGTCCGCCAGTAAGATCACAGAGTGAGAGAGACTATCCAACTAGCCATGTGATTTTAGCAGGAATTCATACATTAATCTTTGAAAGACTTATCATTAAAAAAAGAGAGAAGGAGGGGGTGAAAAACCCTCACTCACTAGCAAGCATTAAAAACCAGCACAGGTCCCAGGTTTCAGAGGCCAGGGTGGCGGTGGCATCTGGAGAGCAGCGGCGCAGCCAAAGGCAGGGAAGCCTGAGCAGCGCCTGCCCACACCCAGAGCCAGGCCCACGCACACTCCTCCATGCCACCACCCGAGGCCCTTAGACCCCCGATGTGACAGAGCACAGCCCGTCATACCTGCTACTGCTGCCGCTCACTCTCGGGCAGGCCGCAAGCAGAACGACCGGGACGCTGGCGGCCCTGCTCACACCGCAGGCCTGCCCGCCAGAGAGTATCTAGTGCAGTAACTGTGGGGTATCTGATGATGGAGCAGTGGCAATCTGGCCTTCCTGAAAGGCTGCAGGCTCAGGGGGACCCTCATCACGCTTCACTAGTGGGACACAGGCAGTGTCCTCAAGGGTGTGGGTCGCTGGTGCAATCCAATGCAAGGAGCCGTTTGGTGAGGGAGAATTCTGTCTAGCCCCGGACTCCAGATGGCTTCTGTAGGGTCTGTGCATCCCCAGCGTTCCCTCACAATGCATCACCTCCTGTTGCAACATGCCGCACACGTATCAGCTTTGTCAGGGCTACTCAGGGCGGGCTAACTGAACAGTTTCTTCAGTAACTGGCCCACTGCAGACATTAACAAATAGTTGTCATTTATCTAACTTGAGCAGTAACACAGCCTACACCTGTAACCCTGCCTTCAAACAGTTTGGCTCTAAGGAAAAGAAGGGCATTTGTAGGGAGGGGAGTCCATAAAGCCTTGAATCTATACATACAACCCTCAGACTGAATTGAATTTTAGATGTTCAGCCTCAGGCATTAGGAATCAGGTTTCACTTAGTATCTTTAGTATCTGGTGGAAAATGTACAATGACTGCATGCTGCTTCTTACCGAAAATCTCCAAGGTGTGGAAGAATATGAGACTCAAACAACAAAGAGGTTTGACCTGTGTGGCCTTGGGAGGCCATGTGAAAATCGACAGCACATGCCAAGCCAGCCTTTGCCTGCTCTGGGCCCTCCACGCCGACACAAAAGATTTGATAGGCTGTCCTGCAACGGAGACTTCTGGTGGAGTTGTGTGGGATACCCAGCCTCACCACTCTCCCCCAGGCGTGCAGCCTCCTCGAAGATCCCAACCACACTACAGCTAGCCAGGAAAGCTGGATGCAGCCTGTCACAGCCGGTCTGGAACCACACCACAATGCCTCTCTGAGTTTTTTTTAATGATCCTGCTCCCCAGCACTCTCCGGAGTTTAAGCTGGCTGCTTCAGTTATGAAGACTTCCATTCAGGGAAAGGTCAAGAAACCAAGGCCAGAGAAGAAAGGTGAAAACGGGCAGGAGAAAGTATGGATTACAGGGGAAGTATGCAGTGCGCAGCATCACGAGAAACGGGGGGAATGTCTGCCGTAAGCCATGCAGCTGCTTTGTCTGTGTGTTGTCAGAAAATGCATCATCACCCTGGCCCTATACATGTAAGTCTCCTCCAGTCCTTTTCAAGGGTGAGGAGGTTAAAACAGTTGCCTCATACTTTAGGTTGGCCAGCTCAAGTACCCAATAAAAACAATGCAGAAAATAAAAATCCAGTTTGAAGCCCCCTGTTATTCCATGATACAATCTAGCCTTTACTGAGGTCAGCACCATGTTTAACCTTGTCAGCAAAGTGAGCAGGAACTATCCATTCTTGCCAGGAAGAGCTTTGAAACACTTACTTGTACAAATACTGAAATACGTATTTTACACACAGTTCAAAATTTCAGTTCAAACTGTATTCAGTATTTTGAGAATTTCAAGGGAAAAAAAGGCCCATTCCTTTAAGACTGAGTAAACTTTCCACCATTTTGATTTTGACTTTCATTTAGAACTTCGGAATCATAGTTGAGGAACAGCGCTGCTGCTGTCCTCTGAGCTGTGAAAGCCAACAGTGCTTCAAGGTGCCATTCACAGAAGCCCAGTTCGGGAAAGGCCGGAGATATTTAGTTAGCGTCAGTGACCTTACCAACTATAACTGAAGTTGAAATCACCATATTATAAAGGGGAAAATGTGAATTTTTAAAACCTTTAAATGGCTTATTTACCACACATACACCTACTATTAAAAAACAAATGATTAATTACACACGGGATTCAAAGAAGCTGGGAGACAACATACTGGAGTAGTTCAATTAATTTAAAGCTTAGCCATACTTTAAATTACACTGAAGCATTTCAGTTCACAGTCAGGGAAATCTGCTTAAACTTGAAACTGGTTTCTCCTGTAGCGGCATCAGCTTGTGCAAGGAGTAGGTTATGGAGCATTTTTATTCACATTAGCCAGTGACTGACCTGCAGTCCTTGCTGGTAATGCTCACACAACTCTCCCAAGCTATTTACAAACACATACAGACATGGCCTGAGGGGGACCAAGTGTGGGGGTGGTGACTATTATCAGTGGCACACTATAAATACTGTTGTTGGGAAAAAATGCTGGTGCTCAGTGGTATGGTAGGCTGTGAGACGTCTAAATCTAGCCAATTTGAGGCAGAATACTCAGAATGATGAGTAACTGAGTCTGCTCCAGCTGCTCTGCAGAAAGGCATCCATGACCGTCACAATGACCACCTGACTGATGGTGCACCGTGCACAAGGAATTCTGTTACACATTGTGTTCCCCATCCTCACATTTAAATTAAAATTTTAAAGCAAGCAGGGAAAAAACTTGAATGTAACCACTGATGTTTCATCAGTCTTGCCTGAATTTACTAACCTAGCCAAGAAAATTTACAATATTTTATTAACTAAAGCAGTGCTTGTATATAATACAAAGTTCCTAAAACCTAGCAACAATTGGGGGGGATTCAGAAATGGACTCTAATTTGATTACTATTTTCCAAACAATGGACCACTTAGCCTGGATTCAACAAAACTTGACAGTTATTCAAAACTGTTCTCCATCCCCTAATAAAAATCCATCGTATAAAAGTGAAAAAAATCAGTAAGTTTCAACTGGCTTAAGTGCTAAGAAGCTACACAGATCCTGCAGTTCCTTTCTTTTGGTAATCTCCTACTTGAAAAAACACAACCATTTCCTTCCTTAACATGAATCCTTACTTAATGGTCCTACTAACAACTTCATTATTGCTTCTAGACTATTGGGAAAGACAAAGTCACACCTCTGGGATTCAAATGACTCGGAGAGAGAGAGAGAGAAAAGATGCTACTGCCAAACAGGCTGTACGGAGCAAGCTTATGTGACTGGTTATCTGTCTGGCTCTTTCACATGAGACACAACAAAACCACCTCGGAGTACATACAAAGAAATGAATTAAACCAGGAGTTCTTACCCTTTTCTGGACTGTGGATTTCTACGGGCACCTGAGGAAAGCTATGGGCATCTTCCCCACAAAAACATTCCTAAAATATTTTGGATGGGAATATAGATCCCTTGAAACCCATTTATGGACCCAAGGTTAAGAGCCACTGAATTAAGCCAAATCTGGGTTAGCCTGCCCTTGGCAGCAACTTAAAACTCACAAAACATCTGCCACTGGGACAAAGGAGGGAAGAAAGGAAAAACTGCTGCAGCTACACAGGTCAGGGGCTGTACAAAGCAAGGCCACGAAGCAAGCCAGACAGCGCTCCCAATGTGTCCTTACCTGTCAAAGGCTGGCTGAGCTCCGCCTGCACTTTACCCTTCGCTGATCCTTCCAGAGGTAAACCTCTGTCCCCTTTGTAGAGTTTCGGTTTAAATGGAGAATCTTTCTCTTTACCTTTTGATCCTTTAGGCCGGCCTGCTTGCTTCTTCTTGGATTTGCCATCCCCCTTCACACCCAGTAGTGGATGGACTTCTGCAAAAGGACAGATAAGCATGGAATGGAACCCCAGACACCCACCCGTGTCCGTGGCTCCAGCCAAGCACATGCCACCTTCCCAGGGGTAAAGAATGTTGTTCTGGGCCCAGATCCACAAATACAAAGAGAAAAGCTCGCTCTGTTTACTAGTTATAGAAGAGTGGCCATTAAACAATAGTTGCTTAGCCAAAGTGCGCACACGGCCTTAGGTGACTCACAGGAAGCACAACAGCTCTAAATTGAAAAGCTCTAGCTGAAAGACACTGATCACATATCACACGAAGCCAGAACAGAAATGCCCATGCACGCACTGGAATGTGAGAGCAGAAAGGAAGTGGGCTCTGGAACTAGACAGGGTAAGAATCTGGACTCCACCACTTCCTGAGACCTCAGGCAAGTTACACAACCTCTGAGTCTAAATGTTCTCCTCTGTTGAACAGGGATAATAAAACAACTTGCAGAATTGGTGTAAAAGTCACGAATGATGCCTGAACAAAGTAGGCATGTAGGCACAATGGGCAGCATCGGGGAACTGCGTCGTTACGTAACTAACTGATCTGCAGTGAGCTGAGAAAGGGGGATGCCCAACAGTAAATGCACACACATACACACACACCCCACCCCTATCCCCACCCACTCCAAGACATGTTAATAAAGGCTTCCACACGTTAGACTGTAAAGCAGATAGAAGAATGAAAAGATTATCCAGGTATGACTTGTACTTTACCATCTAATAAAACCACTCTATAGGGGGAAAAAAAGAAGAATGATAAAATGAAACAAACTGTGCCAGACAACCGAAGACAAAGCTGTCCTTTCAGGCAATGTACAGAGTTTCCCAACTTGAAAAGAAGTCAAAGCAGAGTAAGTCACTCCAATGTAATAAAGCACTATAAAAAAAGACTCGTGGGAAAACCCCCTTAAGGTAAAATCACCCAAACAGGCAATTACCAACCGGGCAAGAGAATAATAAGCAGTGTCCACCACACAGCAGAGAACATGCGGCTCTCACCATCACTTGGGACTCCTTGAAGCTCTATGTTGGTCGTTTTGGGTCTCTTCTTCGGCGGCTGGGGCCCGTCCGCAGAAGACTGCCTCTTCTTTTCTGCCCCTGCCCCCTCATCCATCAGGGATGTCTGGACCGCATCCGGTGGGGGGCCATAAGGATTTTCTTCCGGATCTTCTACCTCAGGGGCAATGGGTAAATATAATAGAGCCTTTGAATCTTCCAGCTCTTCATCACTATTTGGAACAGGATCAGACAAGGGATTGGAAAAAAGAGGAGACAGTTGCTTAAACCATGAACCCTTCCTCTACGGCAGAATCACTTATATTTACCATAAGCAACAGATACGGTTCTAGAACTTTAAGAAATCCCAGATGAATAAAAGGAAATCAGATAATATGACTAATAAAATCAGCAGTAAGAACAAATAGTAGAAATGAATTATTTCATTTTCTTAATACGTTCAATCAGGGGAGAAGAGAAGCGACTTCTAGGACAACAAAGAGTTTTCTCTCTGAGCTAACAAGCACATGGGACCGGAGGAACAGCCGGGGGAAGGAGGTACTACACCACCAGAGACCGGAGAGGAGCGCCCCAAGGCCTAGCCTTCAGGGGGGCTCACCTGCTACAGAAGGCAGCGATAGGGTCCACGCTGGTGACGTCCACTTCCTCATCCTCTGCGGCATCAGCCCCTGCACAAGAAACACAGCAGAGGTGTGAGAAGAAGTGGCAAACTGCCTTTTACTTGCAGCTTAATGATCTTCATTAACTGAAATTCAGGGGAAATAGAGGAGGGAAATCACATGGCTCATTTTACTTAATCATTCAACAAACATTGCTGCATCTCCACCATCAGCTAGGCACTGGGGATTGAGCGATGACCAGGAACGTTGGGAACAGTTCCTCAGTAAAAGCTTTGTGGTCTAATTGGGGAAACAGATGTAAACAATTTCAATTCAATACAGTAAGTACCACAGTGAAGGTATGTGCAATGTGCTCAGGAGACAAGGAGAAACAGCTTATGTGGAAGTTTGGGAAGGCTTCACAGAACATAACCAATAATACCAATACAGTCCAGAACATGCTGCATCCCTGATGGTATTCTGAAAACACACGAGGTGTTTATGTTCTCTAGTAGCACAAAAGTGAGGACCCACACTTTCAAGCCGGAAAGAACCAACTTAATTCCCTGGTTTCCAGCACAATAAAGTGGCCCAGGAGTCAATGACCTTTGAACTCTTTATTATAATGACATTAGAAGTCTAAATATAAATTATTTCACCAGCTTCTTATAGACTTCACTGATTAACCTTTTCTTAATTCAAGACAATTTTAAACATGAGTGTCCTCTAAGTATGTATGGGCATTCCTATACAAAACAGAAAGACTATTATTTACTTATTTACATTATTATTATTATTATTACTTATTTATATTAATTACACACTGACCGTGCCAACTGGGCATACTATGTAGTCACATACATGAACCCCTACTAGATATAAAGCCCTGTGTTAGACACCATGGGGATAAAAAGTCAAATCTTTACTTTCAAGGAGTTTCCCATCTAAAAGTTCAGAAGACAAGACAGAAAAATAATGATAGTCATCATAGTAGCACATAACATCCAATGCTTGTCATGGCCTAGACACTTATATTGAATGCTTTACATGAATTACTGCATTTATTTCCCAAAACCCTAAACGGCAGGTTCTATTATTTTCAGATGAGGAAATTCAAGTTTAAAGAGTCAGTATTTTGCCCAAAGCAAAAACAGTTTGACTCCCAAGTCCATGCTCTCTACCTCTGTCTTACTGACAAGAGTGACAATACATGACACAAGCAGAGTCCCCAGCCCACGTGGGTACTTCACTACGTGCTGCACATAAACTAACCCTCCCTTAATTATCTGCAATTAATCAAGAAATACAGAATGAATGTTAAGAAAGTCTCTGAACCCCGTAACAATGCCCACATAAGCCCTCAGTCAACAGCTTACACACTGAGATTCTCAAAACACTGTCAAAATTAAGCTTAAAGTGAAAAGTGACATTTTTGACTAAGTGCTGAAATAAAATTTTAACACAGATTAAACACGAGCATAGAGTAAGGCAACCATCCGTCCTTTGGGAAATACCACCTGAACTTAGGAAGTATTACCTGTCTGCTCAGGCTCACTCTTGTCTTCATCTTCAATGTCAAACTCTGATTCCCTTTCCTCATACTCTACATTTTCATCCAACTCTTTGAAGTCTGGTGCAAATGCACTCCAATTTTCCTAAACAACAAAACATACTACTTAATTGTATAAGAGAGCAACGGCCTATACACTAGACCTTAATGATATAAATGAAAGCTGTGAACATGAGACTTAGAATTCTGAGATCAAATTTGGCAGGTAATAAAAATTAAGTATCTAAAGGTTTTCTCCTATGAAGAACTAGAATTCTTTGGTAAGAAACTGCCATCCTTCATTTTTTAAAGATGTAATTTTGTGGTAAAATAATTAAATTTTCTTATAAGTGCACTGATTACAAGTATAATTAAAGCTGTTTAAAATAAAAGCAAACTCTTAAGACCAAAACTAAGCTGAAATTAAGAAAAACAAAAGCAAAATCTATCTCAGATCATAGAGAAATGTAACAGAAAGTACACTAGATCTTCTCCCAGAAAACAGAGCTAAGAAATCAGCTGTGGACCAACACATTCCCATCAAAATAAAATAAAGCTAGATGCACTGGATCTATTTGATGAGGTTCCAAAGAATCATGCAAAGAAAGTAAAAAAGGTAATTTCTATCTTCCTATTTGTAAGGTACTTTGATAGAAACCTAGTTATCTGGTTTCAAAGCAATGAAGTCAGAAAAATACTTACTACTTGATTTTGTGCCCAGATAGATACCACTCCACTAGAAATGGACGCTATGATGGGTCGAACAGGATGCCACTAAATTCAATGAGGAAAGAAAAAATCGGCTCTAAGAATGGATCCAAGACGTTCTGTATTACCTAAGCAACAGCAGCCACCTCGCATTCCACTCACAGCCACATCCAGGAGGAGCTCTCCTCTCGTCCCATGGAGAATCTTCACCAGGTTGCCGATGCTCTTCTCCCAGATATACAGGGCATGCTGCCGGGCTGAGCCTGCCACTATGTATTCCCCATCTCCTGAGAAACAGCATTTCTTCCACGGGGTCCTGAAGGACAGGCATTACCCAAGGAGAACTAGAACCAGAGTCCAGGTCATGAATTATCCCACTTTCTTCTAGGTTGTGACACATACCTATTCACCAAGTCCTGTAATTTCTGCATGGGCTCAGGCTCTCCATCTCTCCCACAGGTTAGGATTTCTCTGCCATCATAGACCCTGATTATTCGATCCGCTGTGTTAATTAAAAAGCAACTACAGGAAGGATAAAAATAGCAATGCCAGAGGTCAAATACCTGTTTCTGTTAACATTTGCTATCACTACCTGTTACTTTGAACAGTACTGTGGGACAACTAATAAAGTGAAAGACTGCGTAAACATCTAAGTAACAAGCTAGACGTATCTACTCATCATCTTCCAAACCAAAATACAATCTGAAGTGAGAATATGTTTTGTATTTCCTGTGTATCTCCGAACCTTACATGCACAATCACCAGTATTTGGTTGAGATCCAAGACCTCCACACTGAAACCAGCTTGCTAAACTCACAAGCTTACAGTTAAACGTATATAAATACCTTATTTTTCTGACCTGTTTTATACACAATATATTCTTAATGAGCTAATCAGCTACATATGTCATTATAAAATGTTCAACTCTTTATTGTAGTGACATTGGGAATCTAAAATATAAATTATTTCATCACCTTCTAACATAATTGACTGATTAATCTTTTCTTAACTCAAGACAATTCTGAACATGAGTGTCCTCTCTAAGTAGGTATGGGCATTCCTATATGAAATTGAATGCTTTTTACCTCTCTTACTGATGACCTATTTCTTCCTGTTTCTAGTTGGGTAACCAAACCTAACAGAAAAATGTCTGAAATTAAACAGGTTTTATGTAAGTAAAGTGTGCATTATGTGAATTCTGTGACATTAATTCTGATTACAAAACTAGCTCATCTTTCCCCCGTGCCTACCATGTGCCAGGCATTTTGTTCAAATCACATACCACTCAGATACCCTTTCTGTAGAGGAACTGCCTGATAATCTCAGAGAAAAATGTGACTGCTGGCTCAAAGCAGGAAATTTATGACCTTAAGAACCAGCTACCGACAGTTTCTACTTACTATTTTTTAAGCAAACTTTTAAAAAATCTAAGTATAACAAACACAAAAACTGTGAATCTCAAAATATTTTTGCATTCTCCTCACTTTTAAAACTGTCCCTAAAAAGACAAGGTCTCACCTCCCCTTCCGGGCAAACTCTATTGACTTAATGGCCGTGGTATTGCTGGTTCCAGTTGTTACTCTGAAGGAAGCAACGAGATCCTGAGAATCTGTTTTTAGGACCAAAATCTAAAGTTTAAAGGAGAAATAAAAGTGAGAATTCTGACAACTTCAGTAAATTATATCTGGCTTCTCTTTCTAAAATTGGGCAGAGACTGGATAACAATAGAAACATCTCTGTCCCCCTGTGTTCAACCTGATTAACTGCTATTGCCTTTCACCGCTTCAAATAAAGGACAGTGTCTTAATCTACTCCTAAAATATGTTTAGTGGTATTCACAATAGTCAAACAGTGACGTAGCCCAAGTGGCCATCAATGAAGGAAAGAACAGAACACGGCATGACATGCAATGGAACATTACTTCCTTTTCAGCCTTGAGAAGGTGGCTATTCTGACACATGCTGTGCACTGAACCTCGAGGACGTGACGCTAAGTGAGATATGCCAGTCACAAAAAGGCAAATACTGTAGAGTCCGTTGATACGCAGTTCCCAGAGTAGCCAAATTCACAGATAGAAAGAATGGTGGTTGCCAGGAGCTGGCGGGGAGCAGGGAACAGGAAGTTAATGTTTAATGGGTACAGTGTTTCAGTTCTGCAGGACGGAGAGAGTTCTGGAGACGGATGCACGATGTGAATGTAGTTAATGCCACCGAATTGTATGACTTAAGAAAACCATTAAGATTTAAAATTTTATGTTGTGTGTATCTCACCAGAATTTTTAAAAAGTGCCACTCTCTAAAGTAGCCATATTATACTAGCCATGTGCCCCAGGGAAAAAAGAAAAGAATACCAAGGTCATTAAAGCGACTACAAGCTGTGCTCAAAAGGGACCTTACAGCTCACTTAACCTGACCTCTTCCTCCACAGACTGTAGGTCAAGCTGGCCTGACAGGGTATTTCAGAACTAGGTTATCAGACATTTTCATCAGCCGTATTTCATTTCACAATGACTTTTAAATTCTGTAATTTAGTAAGGCCCTTCATCAATGGCATCCAGTAAAGGCCCTTTCACTCTTTCTGAGGCCAAATAATCTCTGGGCACTCTAAATTCAAAGAACAGAATCACTATTAAGGGATGAGAGAAAAACAGGCTACATTTGCCACAGGCAGGACACATGCTTATCCGGGGATAAAGACACCGCAAAGGCAGCAGAACAAGAGAACAGGACATGAATGGACGCGCAGGATGCCCGGTGCTCACTCCCCTAGCTTCTAAGCTTCTAGGCTTACCTTGCCTTTTGCATTTCCCGTATAGATATATTCCCCTCGCCTATCAAAAGATGCAACCACGTTCAAGTCGGAGTCATCGTCTACCGGCAGAACAACGTGTTTGGAATCTGAAAGGGTCAACATGACAGGAGCAGATTTCATGGGACACACGAGAACCTTGTTCCTGTTTAAAAATATGAATAGTACATTGGCTGTTGCTTTGGTATCAGAAGGCTGATGCTCGTGCCCTTTTCTCTGGTCACTATCCACTATCCTCATCAACTCTCCCAGTCACAGCAAATTTAAAATAGTGAAAAAGCCTAAAATCTAAATGTCCAATAATAGGGAAATGACTGTGAGTAAATGTAAGGGATCCTAGCTAGGCAAAATAAAATGTAATCATTAAAAGTAATTACAAATGTAGCAAGCTAGTAAAATATATAGGAGATAAGGTAAAATATTCATTAAAATTATGTAAAAAATACATATTTATGCATGTTTGGTATGCATGTATGTGCTTCGTGAGCTCTACAACTCTATTTAACCAGCTTTACACTTAAAGAGAATTTGACTAAAGAAACGGAGAGAACTTGACCAGAGAAATGAAGACAGTTGTCTGGGTAACGGAATAGTGGATTAACTCTTTTTTCTTAAATGTAGCTTTAATGTTGAACTATTTTCCTCTACTAAAGAAATTCAAATAATCAGGGGGAAAAGCCCCAGGTCAAGGCCCAGCTATTACAGTTACCCCTACCTTTGCCAATTTCCAAAGTCTTAATATTGGCCAGTTTTTAATCATACAATACAAGGATACTCCTTACAAGACAGAAAGGTTTCATGTAGATGATTTGAAGAAATGTGTGCTTGTGCCTCCTAAAACATTCAACTGAAACTGTCACGAGTCTGGACCTAATCCATAGAGAATTCAGACCCACCCCTGGGAAGAACAGCTCAGATTAAACATACTGATCGCGTGGATGATACTGGACTTTTAAGATGGGCGAAGGGAATCGAAACCTCTGGTCGCAGTCGCCCGAAAGAACATCCCACTGTGACACTATGTTGTCAGTGGAGGCGCTCACAAGCTTATGACCATCTCGACTCCAGCTGAGAAGAGAAGAAGGGTAACTCAGCACACGCTCTGCAGTCCAAGTGTGTCGCATCACCCAGGGGCAACAGTGCACGAGGTACACATATTGCCCTAGCTGCATGGTCAACAGTATTTCTTCTTTTTACACATACTTAACCCACAACGAGCTTTTCCCAACTAAGCAATAAATAAGCATGTTTTCATATAGTGTTGTTATCTAGCAACAAGACTTCATAATAAATAGTTTAAGATAACACTGTAAGTAGCTCTGTAAATCAAGATTCAACATTTTAGAGGAATCTATGATCACCTACCTACCCCTTAAGTGCTGATTTAATAAAAAACAGGTTTTTTTTCTTGGGGGCCGGGAGGGAATATCTCAGCTTTCTGAGGTTGTCCTAGAAGTAAAACCATCACAGGTAAACAGAACAATTCAGATAAGTATCTGTTATTTAAAATAACTGAAAAGAATTACTTTCTTCTTCTGAGTACAGATAGCCACCCTGCTATCACATATAAACCAGACACAGAAAGACTCTGAGAGAAGACAGGCTGGCTAGAGCAGGCGGGTATGAGGAATCAGACACCACCAACTCCTCTATTTTCCCGGACTGAGCGGTGCAGGACCCGACGACCCAGTAACACCAATGGGCACGCACACAAACGCCGTAAGAAGGGCCTGCTTTCTCTAGCTAATGAACCAAGAAGGACAGCCCAGAGAGGAAGAAAACATTTAGGTAATACCCACTCTACTCCAGCAACCACCACAGAAAAAACTGCAACTCCACCTCCATCCCAGTCAACAAGGTCTAAATGGAGTCTAGACTTTCACGCTTGTCCAGTAATAGCAAGGCACGCCATCCTCCGAACTGCAATGGTGCCAACGAAAGCTCTGGGGGAAGCCTGTTCATACCCAGCAGGCTGGAGTGCTGGCGGAGGCCACATGGTAAAGCAGGAACAAGGCATTTCCTTCCTTCCCAGCCAGGGTGCTATCAGTCTAGGAGGCGTATGCAGCAGGGAACCTGACCTTTCAACAGCACCCAGCATAATGAGGCCAAGTGAGAAACTGGGACTTGCAATCCATCTGTAATAACAAGATTGTGCCCACCCACCCCCCGACCCCAACCCCAGAGCAGTATCAGAGGAGGCCTGCTAAACAGGACATTTAAATAAGCTCTACAGTCTCGCAACACAAGATGCCCAAGTTTCAACTGAAAATCACTATCAACCCAGGAACAAAGAAAATCTCAACTTGAATGAGAAAAAACAATTAACAGATACTAACAGAGCAGACATAAATGTTAGAATTATATGACGAGGATTTTATGAAGCATAAAAATGTTTCAGTGAACAATTACAAACATGCTTTAAACAAATGAAGAAACCAGAACATCTCAGCAAAGAAAGTGAAGATACAGAGAAGAAAAACTGAAATGCAAATTTAAAAAATGAAAAACAGCTAAAACAGAAAACACAACAAATGGGTTCAGCAGCCAATGGAGAAGAAAAAGGAAAGAATCAGCAAACTAGAAGACAGAATAATAAAAATGACCCAATCTGAGCAGCACAGAAAAACACACTGAAAAAAAAATGAACAGAGCCTCAGGGACATGTGGGATTATAGTAAAAGATCTAATAACACCATAGCATCAGAGTCCTGTAAGGAAAGAGGAGTGGGGCTTCAGAGTATCTGAGTAAATAATGGCTGAAATTTCCCCAAATTTATCAAAAGATATAAAACTTAGATTCAAGATGCTGAGAGAACAGCAAAGAGGATGAGCTCAGGGAAATCTGCTCTAAGACACAGAGACAAAATTCTGAAAACTAAAGGAAAAAAACTCTTGAGAACAGCAGGAGAGAAATGAAACCCTGTAAGCCTAACTTATAAATTAGACAGTTATAGGTTAACAACAATAACTAATAATAAAATAGAATAGTTAGAACAATACATTGGAGTAAGAGTTACGGGGTTGTGGTCTCTCAAAATAGCTTATTGTGCCGTTCTCATCCTCCTCGTGATGACACGAGATAAATGCCTACATGACATGAATGACGTAGGCACTGTGACACGTGAGACTACTACTAACCAAAGATACAGCGGGAGGATCATCCGCATTCTGATGGCAGTTGACGGTGGGTACCTGAAACCATGGAAAGGGAAACTGTGGGCAAGGGGGGACCACTGAGGATAAACCAAGATGGAATTCTGAAAAAGTGTTCAAGACACACACAGCAAGGCAGGCAAAAAAAGAAGAAAAAAAGGAAAAGAGAATTAAACAAACAAAAAGAAATCCCAAACCAATATTTATCCAATTTCTGCAACAAAGAAGACTTGCTACTGAGGAACTGAGGAAGCAACATACCTCTAGGGTCAAGAACACAGGCTCAAGGTCAAGACTTATGCTGAAGCCAAGACATTACCACCTTCTAGCTGTGGGATCTTAGCAAGGTAATATCTGAGCTTTAATATCCTCACCTGTAACATGGGAGTAAATAACAGTACCTACCCAATGAAGACTTCAGGGAGAATTAAAATGGAGGGATTAAATTCAAGTCTGCATACAAAGGACTCTGGTGTCTCCCCCACCAGCTCCAATAAAACCTGTGCAGAGGTGCTCAGCCCCCAGAAGGCAATCAGAGGATCCTTCCAGAGAATGGGAACTTAAAAGGAAGAGGCTGCAGATACTGTAACTTGAGGGCTCACAACAAAAAAAGCCAGCAGTTCCCCACTCTCAGCAGATTATGTTCCATCTACACCCTCAGTCCCTGTATCAATGGGAGGGTAAGAGGATGAGCTGAAATTTACCGTCAGAAAGTCCACGGATCATGTGCTATTTAGAAATACGAAGATAAATATCAGAGGAGACAGACAAAAAAATGAAAGTGGGAATGGAACAATACCGGCATGGGGACAAACAAGGGACAGTTTTTATTGCTGTTCTTGTAAGCCTTTTAGCACAACCTGACTACAGAACGTCAGCTGATTCCACGTTCTCTTTAATCCCTTTTGTATTCTCTCTCTCTCTCTCACAGCAAGCTTGTATGTGTTACAGAAGAGGGAAATCTAATTTTAAATACTGTAGACAGGTGAAAATTAAGAGGAATTCTCCCATTTAAAAAAATAATATATTCTTGAATTTCAAATTCCATTAGCTCAAGAATCAGGGATTTTCATAGCTTCTCACATCTGAAAAGACAGATGGGGCTTTACTAGGTCTAATGGCTTAGAGGCTTAAAGATCATTCAGTTCTCCCTACGGCCCCATCCAGTGTTAAATTTCTTCTGTAGCATCACCAAGAAGAGGGCAGCGAGCCCAAGCCAACAGGCCCACCACTAAGTTCTTTCCTGAGCGGTCTACCCCATCCCTGGGCACCTCTGCTCGGAAGCTCTGCCCTCCTCGCAGCTAATATTTGTTCCCCTCTAACTTCTCTTCACTACCTACTAGTCCTGCTTCTAGTCACTAGGCCAGTCTTCCTGTCTCACACGCATCGACTTCTTACTAGCTGAAGACAGCCATCACACCTATCTACATCTTCTCCTGGTGAAACTCTCCTAGTCCTTAATATCTTCAATTATGACACAACAGTTAAAATGATATGAAGTTATATTCTAAAAAAGGCTGAATTAAAGAAAAACATAAAATGTATGTAACTACTAACTATAGCCATGATGTATAACTATACATACCAAAAATTAGGGAAAAGTTAAATAATTATGATGCATATATATATATAATATTATATATACATGTATGTACACCTATTTATGACATGAATATATGTGTATATTTATATTTATTTATCAACACAGAAAAAACATCCACTGTGTATATATGGAAAAGCAAGCCATAGAACAAAATATAAAGTATGTCTCCATTTGGTTTAAAAACATGTATGTGGATACATATATGTACATTTTTATATAATTAGAGAAAAGGATATATCTACACCTTATAGATAAAAGACACATTCTATACAGTGACAGTAGTTATCTCAAGGCGTAGACAAAGGGTTTTTATTTTTTACTTTATGTATTCATACACTGGTTGAATTTTTTTAAGTTTTTAATAATCAAGTTTTGTGGTAAAAAGTTTAAAGATGGTGGTGGGGAGGGGGAAAATCTTTTACTATTCAAATTCCTTTGACATAGTAGAAACATATTTTTGAAAGTCTACTTTAATGAAAAATCATAGATTAAATGCCTACTGGACATGTCCACTAAGACATCCCCATCCACCCAACAATTATCTGAACACCTATTATTTACCAGGTACAATGTTGGAAACTGGGAATATAGCAATAAAATGGCAGACAAGGGTCCTATATGACAGCATTCACCCATCTTGCTGGGAAGATACTCATGAAACAAATATTTGTAATAAAATATAACAGGAGACATGCAACCATGATTTCAAACTCACCATTTCCCCCTCCAATCGTACATCAGGATCTTCAGCCAAGCCAGAAACCTGAGGATCCCCCTACCTTCTCTACCTTACTCACCACCCCCACCTCATTAACTTCTCTCCCGGTTCTCCCGTCTTATCCCTCAGCTGTTCCTGCTGCAGCCATCTTCAGCATCTCTAGTCCACACCACTGCAATTCTTGTTCCTTCGCTCACTGTCCCCTCCCATCTCTTTTCCACATGCTGCTTCAGAGATCCTTCTCAAATAAACAAAACTCATTAAGTCACTCTCCTTCCCAAAAATGTTTGATGGCTTCACAGAACCTCCGAGATGAAGTTCAGATTCAGAGGCTGGCACCCGATGCCATGAGGATCTCAGCTTCCCGTGGCTCCTCCCGTGTCACATCTCCCACACCACAATGCAGCTCCCCGGAAGCTTCCTCCGCTTCTTCGGAGCTGATGTGCCCTTGCCCGAGAGGCGCCCTCTGTGGAATACAACTGGCAAACACCTACCCCCTCCGAGTCTGACGTTAGAGATGATCCCATCTATGAAACCTTTCCCGACCACTACTCTCCTCCGCTGAAACTGATCATTCCCTCCTTTTTGACTCCACTACATCTCAAACACAGTCCCGCACTGGACCTGCAGAGCTTTAGCACACACACCTATATGCCCAGGTACCTCTCCCTTACTATCCTAGAATCTCTCCTGATCTGGTTTTGTGTTCCCAATGCTCACAATACCTGGTACATAAATCATGTTCAGTTTTTGCTGAATATGTCAGAGAAAACGCACAGACATTCACGAGACATAATGTAGCAGAGAAACAAAAACTGGTTAAGTAAATTATAGTTTATCAAAAGTTATACAGCCATAAAAAAGTTTTCAAAGGCTATGCAAGCAGGGAAATGTCTGGACAGTATTAGGGAGGAAAAAAGAAAAATACAAAATAAAACACAGCACAATTACAAACTCACGCTTACTAAAAATTAGGTGTTGAAACATCAAAATATTTATAGTTGTGTATCTGGGTGGTGGGACTGGAAGCTACTACCTCTTTGTACTTCACTATATTTTCTGTAACGTTCTAAATGATTTTATTTATTCTAATAAAAACTTTTCTAATAGATAGGAGCTCTAAAATTAGATTGTGAGAGGTGCACAACTATGTGAATTTTATATACCTTAATAAAGCATTTAAAAATACATCTACTTAGATCTTTACTGTAAGAACACAACAATAAAAAAATAAATGAAATGCAAAGAAGCTGGAAGGGATCTAAGAGACCATCCAGGCTGGGGCTCTCATTTTCCATACAGAGAAAAGTTTTGACCACAGCCACCAGCTCATGAGTGGGCGACCTAGCCTGGGATGCAGGCCTCCTCCCAAGCCAGTGCTTCACAATACCACTGCTGTTTCTATTTAGACAAAAGGAAATGTATTACAGTTCAATATGTCTAGATCTGATTAGGTGCTTTTTTTTTGGCCCCGAGATCATTTAAAAAAAGTTAAGTGCTGCCCCAAAGTAGTTTTCTGAAGCAAACAGAGCAGTCTCAGAGAATAAGAAAGAAATCAATGGGAATTTATATTACACCAGATTTCATCTCAGTATATTTGGTAGAAAGTCTTATTAACTGTAATTCAATGAAGGAACAGTCACTAAAATTGCTGGAATTCAAGACCCTGGACAAGGCTGGACTAGATGACTTCCAAACTTCCTTCCTAACCAAGATTTTTTATTTTAAATGAAAGGTCAACTATCACAAACATTACTCAGCTGAGATCTGTGAACATATCATTTCAGTACTGAAACACTCCCAGACAGAACACGATATAGGTCCGTTACTACAATGACATTCTCCCTACAAAGGAGCTTCAAGGACAGCATGAGTTCAAGGTCTACATAAGCTACGAAAATTATATTACAAATGACTGAATATTTGAAACTCTAAGATTTAAATATCTACTACAATGAGATGAGCAATTATAGTCACCATTCATCTCCCTAACTTAACTCATATTAAAGATACTAAGAGTAAAACTCCTTACCATAAAGAACAAACCGGATGGATGTGCGCACTGATTATTTTAGCAATGCCTCTTGTCAAGAAATCCCAGATGACAATTCGGCCATCGTTACAGCCAACTGCAAGCAGTGTGCCCCACCTGTTAAAGGTGCAAGTGAGGGCCATGCTGATACAATCCAAAGTTCCATCAGCTTCCTAAAAATCAAAACAAACACAAGAATATAGACAATAAAACCCAGGTATTCAAATTATTTCTCAAAGGTTCTCTATCTATGGTATTTCTCTTACATTTAAATTATGATGCATACCAAAATAATCTATGTGTTCTCATATCTATCAAACTATCCAAAATGAAGAAATATTTATAAAAGCAACCACAGAATTCTAGAAAACAGATGACATCAATCCCTTACATTAACACTATAACTTTGTACATACTCTGGAAGGCAATCAGGTAACATGTAACAAGACTCATTAAGAATTATCCTATTGACACAATAATCACAGTTCTTGGAATTTATTCCAAGAAAATAAATGAAAACAAAATCCTTAGAACTGCCTACACATGTAACAAACATTAGCAAAGTCAAATAAATTATTTTATCTTAATATCAAGCCATTTAAAATAACAACGACTACACTGACATATATTCCAAGTATTACAAGATGTTTATATTTTAAAAAGTAAAGCATATTGCTATAATTTGCAATCACAATATAGGTGGGCCATGGGGAAGGCAGTCCAGCACAAAGACAAGTAGTGACTCTATGGCATCTTACTACGCTGAGGGACAGTGACTGCAACAGGGTGTGTGTGGGGACCTGAAAGTATGGATGAATGTTGAAACCACAATCTTGCTCATGTGAAACCTTCTTTAGACTATATAAATACCTTAATTTTTAAAAAAGGTTAAAAAGAAAAAAGTAGAGCATATTTGTAGCATATAGATTATTATGTAACAAAAAGCTGTTCTGAAAAATCAAAGTCTTTTTCTAATTTAAAGGGAAATGAACTGTAAAATTTACAACATTACGGTGAAATTTCCAGCCAATATGGCCTATCCTCACCCCATTCCCACTCAGAATTAAACCTTTAGTTCCTTATTACAGCAAGAGATATCATCACACTTAATATTTATTTAAAAAAAAAAAAGGATCGAGATACATTTTCCACTCAAACCCAAGAGCTGTGTTCCTAAAATCGCAATGCTGTACTCTTACCTCTGGATAATTCTGCCCAAAGGACTCTGCAACAAAGCAAAGGCAGAGAGTTAACGGAGCGTGGGAACACCCAGGAGCGCTGCAGCCCAAATTTTCCATACAGAGAAAAGTTTTGACCACAGCCACCAGCTCATGAGTGGGCGACCTAGCCTGGGATGCAGGCCTCCTCCCAAGCCAGTGCTTCACAATACCACTGCTGTTTCTATTTAGACAAAAGGAAATGTATTACAGTTCAATATGTCTAGATCTGATTAGGTGCTTTTTTTTTGGCCCCGAGATCATTTAAAAAAAGTTAAGTGCTGCCCCAAAGTAGTTTTCTGAAGCAAACAGAGCAGTCTCAGAGAATAAGAAAGAAATCAATGGGAATTTATATTACACCAGATTTCATCTCAGTATATTTGGTAGAAAGTCTTATTAACTGTAATTCAATGAAGGAACAGTCACTAAAATTGCTGGAATTCAAGACCCTGGACAAGGCTGGACTAGATGACTTCCAAACTTCCTTCCTAACCAAGATTTTTTATTTTAAATGAAAGGTCAACTATCACAAACATTACTCAGCTGAGATCTGTGAAAATATCATTTCAGTACTGAAACACTCCCAGACAGAACACGATATAGGTCCGTTACTACAATGACATTCTCCCTACAAAGGAGCTTCAAGGACAGCATGAGTTCAAGGTCTACATAAGCTACGAAAATTATATTACAAATGACTGAATATTTGAAACTCTAAGATTTAAATATCTACTACAATGAGATGAGCAATTATAGTCACCATTCATCTCCCTAACTTAACTCATATTAAAGATACTAAGAGTAAAACTCCTTACCATAAAGAACAAACCGGATGGATGTGCGCACTGATTATTTTAGCAATGCCTCTTGTCAAGAAATCCCAGATGACAATTCGGCCATCGTTACAGCCAACTGCAAGCAATGTGCCCCACCTGTTAAAGGTGCAAGTGAGGGCCATGCTGATACAATCCAAAGTTCCATCAGCTTCCTAAAAATCAAAACAAACACAAGAATATAGACAATAAAACCCAGGTATTCAAATTATTTCTCAAAGGTTCTCTATCTATGGTATTTCTCTTACATTTAAATTATGATGCATACCAAAATAATCTATGTGTTCTCATATCTATCAAACTATCCAAAATGAAGAAGTATTTATAAAAGCAACCACAGAATTCTAGAAAACAGATGACATCAATCCCTTACATTAACACTATAACTTTGTACATACTCTGGAAGGCAATCAGGTAACATGTAACAAGACTCATTAAGAATTATCCTATTGACACAATAATCACAGTTCTTGGAATTTATTCCAAGAAAATAAATGAAAACAAAATCCTTAGAACTGCCTACACATGTAACAAACATTAGCAAAGTCAAATAAATTATTTTATCTTAATATCAAGCCATTTAAAATAACAACGACTACACTGACATATATTCCAAGTATTACAAGATGTTTATATTTTAAAAAGTAAAGCATATTGCTATAATTTGCAATCACAATATAGGTGGGCCATGGGGAAGGCAGTCCAGCACAAAGACAAGTAGTGACTCTATGGCATCTTACTACGCTGAGGGACAGTGACTGCAACAGGGTGTGTGTGGGGACCTGAAAGTATGGATGAATGTTGAAACCACAATCTTGCTCATGTGAAACCTTCTTTAGACTATATAAATACCTTAATTTTTAAAAAAGGTTAAAAAGAAAAAAGTAGAGCATATTTGTAGCATATAGATTATTATGTAACAAAAAGCTGTTCTGAAAAATCAAAGTCTTTTTCTAATTTAAAGGGAAATGAACTGTAAAATTTACAACATTACGGTGAAATTTCCAGCCAATATGGCCTATCCTCACCCCATTCCCACTCAGAATTAAACCTTTAGTTCCTTATTACAGCAAGAGATATCATCACACTTAATATTTATTAAAAAAAAAAAAAGGATCGAGATACATTTTCCACTCAAACCCAAGAGCTGTGTTCCTAAAATCGCAATGCTGTACTCTTACCTCTGGATAATTCTGCCCAAAGGACTCTGCAACAAAGCAAAGGCAGAGAGTTAACGGAGCGTGGGAACACCCAGGAGCGCTGCAGCCCATGAACGGCGCACTGCAGTGGTCTGCGAAGTGCAGACAGGGAACCTGACACCCTATCAGGGGCTCCATGAGTCCCACCGATTTTCATGACATACCAAGACATTATCTGCCTTTTCAGCCTCACCTGGTAAGTTTACAGATGAGTTCTGAGGCTGCATGACCTGTGACACTGCACAGTTAATGCAGAAGATGGGAGAACTTCCCAACTTCTTTGTAGGCAAACATTAAAGAGTTGTAAAATGTACAACAGTGCCACTCTTCTCACTGAACATTTCTTCTTTTAGAAAATAGTTAATTTTTGTAAAACTGTTTTTTATGTAAATATGTAAAAGTTGTTATGGTTATTTTTAAATAACACACATTTAAAATCAAATCAGTCAAATTGTCTTAAGTCCCAACTATTCTCTACAACCTTTAGTAACAGCAGCCAACCTGCAGCAGAATCATTTACCTTCCTAATAACAGCACCTAGGTCGGAACAGAATCTTCAAGTTGGTTAAACACATAATTCCCATATTTATTTCTTAGGCAAACAACATTTTAATACAAACATCCCTGTTTTCCAATATTATAAATTTAGCATTTATATATTAGCACTAAACATTTCAGCTACAGATGATGGTATGATACTGCCCAGTAGCCCGAAGTTTACTTTCAGCAGTGATAGCATCTGTCAGTATTTACTTTTTATTACTGTGGTTTTTAAACTACACTGTAACTATAGGTCCAGGAAAGTTGTTGTGCATATAGGGCATCCAAGTAAAACTTCATTTAAAAATAAGTCTAATGCTTTAGGAAAAAAAAAATCTTAAAAAACACTTTTATTACATTTTGTCTTTTATAAAAATTAATAGAAAATAGGCCCTACAGTTAAGAAAGCTGAAAGAAACATTAAATTAAAGGTAAATAATCGCAAAAAAGGAAGTATCTTGATTTTCTAATGAGCAGCAGACTTATGGTGGCTGACTGCATTCAACTGAAAGAAAAGAATGAAATGAAATGCTGAAAAAAGACCAAGACAGAGACTTTGAAAGAACTTTCTGAAAGTCACATAAGTAAACAGAAATGTTATCATTAAAAAATGAGTTTCCTCCCAGCAATCCACTCACCAAGGTAAAAGCTTCCACATATTTCTACATGCTTATTTGTATAAGCATATAATATAAGCATAATTTGTATTAGCATACACATATTTAAGGTTTGCTTAAACACTATATATACATCTTATGTGACCTGCTTCTTTAACAAAATATCCTATACATCTTTCCAAATCAGTAAACAGATCTATACCCACACGGTTGAGAAACAAGCAAAAAGGAGCATTTATTCAAAAATTAAAAACAAAAAAACCACAACCTAAAAATATAAAGTGCTCAGGGAAAAGGAGTATGTACCTTGCTATGTTAAGAGAAAAGAAAGTCACACCTGAGATCCTGAGAGAATCCAGGGACCACTTTAATGTATGCTTACCTCTCAGTACAGATTACCCCGATTCTTTTTTTTTTTTTAATGTTTTGGGGTAGGTTTTGTTTTTTCTTCTCTTTTTGAGGGTTAGTTGTCCTAGTTAACAGGCTTCAATAAGGTGTTTGAGGAGCACAAAGAGAAAGTAACATATTAAAAAAAAAAACAACCTAGCTAGTTTGGGGCACTTTGGTCGAAGGGCCTGAGCAAAAAGGCTGGCAAGTTCCGGGAGCACAAGGCCATTTCCTCCGACCACTTTTACATTCTCCATCTTCCCACCATCTACCCTTTTGTGTTACAATTAGATCACTTAGGCTTGATTTTAGAGACTATGAAGGGGGAAAAGAAAGGAAAGATGGCCACAGATGTGGATGTTAAAGAGAAAAAAACCCTGGTCAAAGAGATCTAACTTTATAATATACTTTATAACTTAAAAAAAAACATGAATAACTGATTACTATAAGTGTATAGTAAAGTACACATTTCCAAAAGTGATTACAGAAGAAAAAAATTTGCCTGCCTCAATGAGTACAGAACACACTAAATGACTTGTTAAAGAACTGTCACTTAAAAAAAAGAAATTAAAAGAAAAAGCAGCTGGCCCAATTTCTCCTAAATCTCAAGCATTAGATAATTACTATGTTATTCAAGCTATTTCTGAGCAGGAAAAAAAGTACAAATACACACATATATATTCATTTTTTTTACAAAGCCAATATAACTGATACCAAAACTTGACAAAGAAAACAAAGAAGAAAAAAAGTCCATTTCACTTAAGAACATAAATGGTACATGGTATTTCACCTTAGATTCTACAGACTTGAAAAGTAATTTCTTATACAATTATAACCAAATTCTCAACACAAAGAATCTGGAGCTTATTATTCCATCATATAAAAATATTACGGTATAGAAGGGGGGAAAAAAAGGAACAGGATTATGCCAGAGCTCTCCAAACGCATTCACAGCACAATGCACTCACGTATATCCTTCGTCAAGGACTCTAAAAGTCATACAATCCTATCAGTAGACACTGAAAATAATTTGCGGAAACTCAATAACCATTTCTAATAAAATAAAGCCTACAATAAATGATAAAAACTATTTCCTCAAAATGCAAACAATCATCATTCCAAAAGGTGAAATACTAAAATCATTTCAATTAATATCAGCAACCAGAAAGGGATATATCACTATTATTAATTAGTTAATATCATCCTGGAGGTTCCAGTGAATCAAGTAAGAAAATGAAATAACTGGTTAAAACATTTAATATAAGGAGATAAACTGTTTTTCTTCTGCTGAAATACCTAGATACACTTAATACCTAGAAAACAGAAAACACTCTAATAAGGAATCAAAGTTAAGAAAATAAGGTGAAGTGGTTTGATGCAAGAAAAATATTCAAACATCAATAGCTTTTCTTTACATTAGCAATTTTGTATCCAGAAATGGAAATGAAGAGGAGAAATCTATCCACAATGGCTACAAACATATAAAATAATTACAGAAAAGTAGTAAGGAAGACACAGAACATGTATGAAGAAAAATCTTAGTTAAGGCCATAAAAATCTGAACAAAGGAAAAGACAATCTATGTTCTGGGATGGGAAAGCTTAATGGGTTTCTCCAAAAATCAGTTTTATGAAATTCCAAATGGATTAAAGACAAATGTAAAAAATAATTTCTTAAATGTACTGTTAAGGTCACTGATAACATGATCAGGTTAGCATTTCAATTTTGTGGGGAGTTTATTTAATACATAGGGATAAACAACTGATTATCCATCCAAAAGGAAAAAAAAGTTACAGTTGCTCTCTCATATCTAATGTATAAAAATAAATTCCAGATAAATGCTTAAAAAAAACAAAAACCTTGGAAGAAAATCTAGGAGACAACATGTATAATCCAGGGTGGGAAGACCTTAGCCTTAAGTGAGGAAAATGAAAAGAAGAGAGAAGAATATTTGATTATATAAAAATTACAACATTTTGCATAGCCAAAGTTCACATAAATGGTCAAGAAAAAAATATGCACTGTAGATGACTGATAAAAGGTGGTATCCATACTATAAAGCAAATTGATACAGCAATAAGAAAAAACAAAAAGACAAAGATTATGAATAAGCAAGTCACACAAAACAAAATCATATCACCTCTAAACAAAGGAAAATATTATCAAATTCAGTTGTAGTCAGAGATACATAAAATCAAACTAAAAATGAGATGCCACCTTCATCCATCAGACAGGAAAACTGAAAGAGAACACCTAGTGCTGGGGGGACGTAGGCAAAGGGGTATTTTCACACACTGCCTGTAAGATGGAATTGTTTTAGCCTTCTGGAAAAGGAATTTGACGGCATCTATTAAAAGCAAAATCATACAGTCTTCATCTCGGCAACTCTACAACTGGAAATCTAATCTCCATCAATGTAAGCTCAACAATGGGGCATAAACACAAAGGTATTTAAAGTGGTGGCAAAAAAAGCAAAAGAAAAACCCTAAAAACTGGGAACAAGGTAAAAGCCCATCAGTAGTGAAACAGATTAATAAATTATGTTGTATCAAATATGGATAAATCATACTCATTTTCCTAAGAGAAAATTTCATTGATGCTACTAAGTGAAAGAAGACACAGTGTATATAATACAATCTCATTGTTTGTTAATGTGTATGTAAACATACACAAGTATAGGCACAGAGAAAAATACCGGAGGAGATACATGGGGTTATCAACAAAAAGAAGGCAAGAAGAAAGACTTGTAACTAAAAGTACTTACAGTTAAAATTACGAATCATGAGTATCTACATAAATATGCATTAAAAATCTTACGACTATTATCTCCTAATGTGTAGGAATAGTATCTTATAGTGTTATGCAAAGAAAGTTGAAAATACTGTGTATAAAAAAGGTTCTATTTCTGTAATAAGCAAAAACAAAGCCCTTATGAATTTGTTTAAATGTATCTATGTGAACAAGGAAAAAGGTATAAAAGGCTAAACTCCAGATAGCTACCATCTGGAGAAGGGGAGGAAGATAATCTTTTCTCTATTTTGCTTGTTTCCAGCATTGTGATAAATATGTATTATATTTGTTAGTTCGAAAAGCATGAAATGCAAGAACCTTAATGAGTCTTCCAGACTTAAACATGCTGGCTTATCACTTCTCTCAAGTGCTCAAGCCTAAATTTATGTTTAATAGCTACTACTTATTCAGTGTTTATGTGTCAGACTTTGTATTAAGGCTTCTAAATATTACCTCATTCAATCCTCTCAATTCAATGTTAGTGAGTACTGTTTACTGCATTCACAGATGAAGGAAGTTAGGCTGAGACTGTCACATCCCAAGTTCACAGATAAAAGCTGGCAAAATTGGGACCTGACCCAGAAACCACACACTTAACTGTAACTACACTAAAAAAGCCTCTACAAACTTACCGCAATTTGGCCTAAAGGTTTACTAGTCTGAGATTTGCAAAACACACCTGCCCTCTATTTAAAGTCAAAATCTGCTCATCTCCTTTCTTTCCCCATGTCTTCCTTTCTCTCCCCAAATCTCGAAGACCACCAATAGTTACTTCACATGCACACCTCCTCAGGGCCAAGGAATGTAATTCGACCCAGAGTGAGCTAAGTGACCTACGCCAAATCTCTACGCATCGAGGGCTTTTCTTAGCAATAACCATTGCTCACCTGATTTGTTTCAAAAATCATCCTTTTCCCCACAGACGACAAAAGAAAAATAAAAGTTAAGCATTCCACTTCCCCTTTGCCTATAAAGCCTAAAGTAGGCCCACAAAAGGTATTTGTGGAGTGCTGAATGGGTAATTTTGGTACAACATCCAGCCCAACCAAGCAGCTAACCACTCTTCACACTCCACATTTTAAAAACCCTTCCTAGTTGCCTCATCTTTACACTCCTGACCTTCAGTCACATTAACTTCACTGACACTGTTCTAAAAGCCTCCGTTCACCTTTGGCTATGTGCCCTTCTTTCGTACTTGCCTCTTTGGAATTTGAGTATGGACTACTTTCAGTGCAATCACACCAGTTTTCGGCAGGTGTCTGATCCCCTTTTTCCTGTGAGGATCCCTTCTCCAAACTGCCTTTTAGCTCTCCAGGCCTTGAAGCCTTCTTCCTTCCAGTCTCATGACATGAATAATGTCTATTCTCTAAATTGCTGAACATTCACCTCCTTAAAGACTTGATTATCATGAACTCTAAAATGTCATGGACCTTTCTTCCCAGCAGTCCTATTATTTTGTACTTGCCAACCAGTTCCTTCAAGTTCAGAGAGGCAGTTTCCATTCTGCTTCCTCAACACAGCAAGTGATGACACAGCTGGTCGCATTTCTTTTAGAGAAATGCGGTTTTCAGGTGACTAGATAACCGATGCCACCCTACCCCAACCTGATGCCATCAAGACAGAAATTACTACAGTTTATTTCCAATCTTGCCTCCCCCAACAATCCTTCACAAAGCTGCCACAGTCAGTCTTCAAAGCCCCAAATCTCATCATGTCACACTTATCTGCTTAAAAATTCCCCTTGCTAAACAATATACTAAACTCCCAAGTATGATTTTAAAAAGCAATTTCAATCTGGCTCCAATCAGTTATTTTCTACTTTATCTTTGATTAACTCCCCTTCAGCATCCAACACAGAGCCTCACATACCCATCCTAAGCACTGGGTTTCTATCTGGGTCTATGACACTGCCTCTGTAAAATCATTCTCAAATTGTCAACCCCAGCAATGCAGAATTCACTGCTTTTTCAGCTGGATTCGCATCATGCATTCATTTATTCTGATTCCACATCACAACAGTTTATGCTTCTCTCCTCTTAGTTCCATGTATTTATTCAAGGCAAAGGCTGTATCTTATTTCAATGTTTTCCAAACTGTAGCACCCAATCCACCATAAATATGTAAGTCAATTTAGTGAGCTGCAACGAGTTTTTCAGTAGATTAGAACATAAGATATCAGAGGACACCGATCACAAGGATTAAGTATAAGTCTTAGAAACTTAGTTATCTGTGTATGTGTATATATATATATGTACATATATACATATAGGGTGTGATAGAAAATATATTTCTTTTGAATTGTAGTAAAAAGAAGCTTGACAAACTCCTATTTAACATTGTATCTCTGGTGCATACTGCCTGATAACTGCCTCAAAAGGCGGTTGCAGAAGTGAAATTAGCATGTTGAGTGTCCACAAGAGAAACATATTATCATTTCTTTCCTTTGTCCTGCCAGATATCCTGAAGCAGGCCCCACAATCAGATCCCTTTGTTCCTTTCTCCTTTTTAGCAGCAAATCTTTAGCTTTCTCGATTTAAAACTCAGGAGTCATTTCCATAGATTTTTTTACCTTTTGGATCCAGCCTTCTTTTAAGAAGTCTAACCTTCCAATGCTCAACATTGCTTTCTGAGTAAACCCTTACAAATCTTCTACAGAATTAAAAAAAAAACCATTTCCCATGACTACTTACCTCTTTCAAGGTACTAGCCTATCTACTCCCTATCCTCCATCCTTAAACTTTTAAGAGTCAACTTTTTGCCTCCACTTCATCTCCCCCACTTGCCTAAAAGCACTGTAGTCCGGTTTCTGCTCACGTTGCTAAGAGGCCCCAGGCTAGCTAAGGACTATACAGAGCAGCCCTTTCCCAGCTCTCAGCCTCAACTGCTCTCCACTTGGCTTCCATGGAAGATACCACAACAACCTGCACTTCTGTTCTACCTCTACACGGATGAACATATGGAAAGCGCAAAAAAAATGCCTAGCTCATAATAAGTAGTAGATGACTGTTCGTTAATGTGTTATTATTATTTATTCCTCCTCTTATTCCCTAAATGTAGGTAACTGTCCAAGATTCGGACCTCAGCAGTTTTTTCTTTTCTGCTCCTCCCAACTTTCTCCCTTGGTCTTGTCATCTACTCACTGCGTTTCAATCAGCCTACCTGCAGGAGAATTACAACTCACTCTCGTGAATCCAAGTCCATCCATGAGCCCCAGGTCCACACCTGAGAGTCCCAATGCTGTCTTTTCCCAACATCCTTAAACATCTACTAGAAACATCGCTACTGGTTTCCATGATTTTTCACGTCGCTCTCTTACTCACAACCAGCACCACCACCATACACAATCACTTCTGGAACTCTGTCAACTCTTTCTCCTCAATGTCTTTTCTTTCCACTTCCTAGCTCAGGCCTTCTTTACAACTCACCTACTCTAGCCCTATAAACTGACTGCATACCCTCCAAGACTCAACTACACACTGCTGTCAGATAAATCTTTAAAAAATATCATAGCTCTGATTGACTGACTTACCAGGTCCAAAGCCTTCAATGGATCGGCCCTATTCCTTAAAAGCACAAGCTTTTCAGTTGGGCACGCAAAAGCGTCAACAGAACAGATGGCACCAACCCCATCTTTTGGCCTTCTCATTATTCAGTGCCCACAACCCGGCCAAGCAGTGAATCTAGATCTTCTCATTCTCCCATGTCTTAGCTCAAACATATTCCTGGTAAGCACACCTCCCCTTATCCTCATATTTCAGTCTCACTCTTTTACCAATCTTAAATATCTACTCAAAACTCGCAAAAATATCTTGTTCCTGATTAACTTTCTTCCCCAGCACCAAAGACGTTCATACACCTTTTCCCAATGTTCTTAATACTCGGTAATGATTCTTAAAGGCCTGCCTATGTTCTGCCTATTTATATGATCACTTTAATCTCCGTTTAACAAAAGGCTCCTTCAAGGCCATTTCTTAAATACCTTTGTAGACCTTTAGAGAGCCAGTACATTTTCTGATTTTTTTTTAGCAGAAACGTAACCATTAAAGCAGAAGTTGTTTAGGAGTTTGGAAAACCTTAGCCATCCCCAGGCTACCATGCTAAACACCTAAAGAAAGCCTAGAAGGACCTACAGTTGTTAAACAACTTGGGCAAGGGGTAGGGAGGAAATGACTCAGAGAGAGGGTGACAAAAGGCAAATGCCTCTGTAGTTCACACCTCCGTGTTTTACACACCATCCTTGATAGTTAAGGGGCCTAAACAGAAGTCAACATAACTGATTCCAGTGCCAACTGTACCATTTACTTGCTTAGTGGCTTCAAATCAATACTCTCTGGACCTTTCCTCATCTGTTCAACGAGGGACTTCAACAAGAAGAGCTCCACGCCACCACCACCCCCTTAGGCATTCCGTGATTTAATCCGTCCAGGTCACCAAACTCCTGACACGTCTTCAAAGCTTCACCTGGAGCCTCATTTCCTCAGATTCCCTCTTCTCCAGTAACTAGTCCTGCCTGCTCTGGGCTACTTCAGCACCTGTGATAACTGCCCTCAAAACTAAGTCACACACTGCCCCACGACTGATCTGAACGTACCCTCGGGAAAGGCAATGCATTCTGCTCGGACAGAAGCTAGGTTTCCTCCTGCTGCTGCTCCAGATTAGGAGCGCCCCAATGGTCCACAGCAGAACTATGTCCCCGAGGTTGCAGCTCGGGTCCCCTCCCGCCCAAGTTGCTCCTTCCCAAGACCAAAGGGCTTTCTAATCCCAAGACACAGCCCTCCTCACCCAGCAACTCGAGGTTCATCCCTGAGGACTCAGGCCGCCTGGCCTCAGCTCCAGCAACACCGCCTCTGCCCCGGCCCGCTGCCAAGACCTGCGTCTAACTGGGAGACACCGCAAACAGCCTGGCGCACGCCCCGAGACTTTCTGTTTCGGCAGGCCCCGCGGCTTCCGCTTTCTTCCCCCGCCTTCCAGGTTCGTCTCGAGTAGGCTGTCCATATATTCGCCTAACCAACGAGAAGAACAAACGCTCACGGAGATCTTTGATTACGATATTGACTAAGAGACAGAAATGTCGTCGTCACTTAGTACTTTAAAAAGTGCAGGAATTTGAGGCCCTTTCCTTCCGGATCATGTGAACTAGCTAGAGATTTCAGGCATATCGTTAGACTACTAATCCCTGCTGAGTGGTGCGTTCCGCGGCCTTGTCCGGGAGGGCTGCCTTAGATCTGCGGGAAAGGTTCCGGGCAAAATCCGACAGGCGTAGGAAAGCGGGAAAGGAGGACCCCGGCGCTGGCGCGGGGAGGCGAGCTGAGCAGTCAAGGCGCGTTCCCACCTTGTGTGGACGCTGGTTACCGTGGATCTGTCCCAGTCTCTTGCAGATGACTTCACATTTGTAAAGATACGCCATTGATCGCACGGAAATGTACGAAAGCATTTGTTAGGCCTCTATCGAAGGGCTTACCGTGTACGCACTGTTGGCCAGGACTCTGAAAATGAATTGAAATAAGAGGTGGGCTGAGTTCCCCGGAGCTCCATCAGACAGGACTGTGATGTGATACTCAAAGCAATTAGAGACGGCCAGTTGATGGTCCCTAACGAAGGACCAAATTCTATATGGACAACTTTTGACCGTGGGGACTGTGGGCTAGCCCAGAAGAGGAAAGAACGGTGTTGGTTCGCGCAAAAAATAGAACACGAGCTAGATTCCCCCATGTGGATTTAAATGCCAGTAATCTCAGCTCCGCCCCTTACTAACTCCATCCCTTGGGCAATATTTCATCCTCTCCACCTGTTTTCTTTGAAGTAAAATGGAGATGATAAAAGCACTTACAGAATTATTATATGAAGCACTTAGGACAGCAAGCGCCCAGGAAATGTTAGCCATTATTATTTAAAAATTTCCTGAGTCCATTAGGATAGATATCAGCCCCATTTGAACAATACAGCAAGTGAGGCTCGGAGACATTAGGCAATTTGCATTCTTTCACATATCCAAAACATTGCCAAAATGTTATTCAAAATATTGTATAGGATATATAGGACAACAGGGGTATATAGGAGTCTGCACACTTTCGTAATCATTCATTACTATCAATTCTTTAAAATTATGACAGGTGAAAAATTGTTGCTGTTATATTTATTTTTTAATGAGGATGAACAACTTTTCACATGTATGAATGTGTATGTTTCCCTTCTGTGAGGTGGCCTGTTCATGTTCTTTGCCTATTTCGATGGAATATCTTGTAGGATTTTAAAGCAAAGAATAAAATGATCACACTGATGTTTAAAGAAAACAAGGACAGTGTGGAGTAGGGATGATTAGAGGAGTGGAAGCAGTTAGATTTCAGCCATAATCCTGTAGAGAGGTGAGTAATTAGAATGGGAAAGACCTTTCATATTTGGAAAGTAATAGAGAGTTAGGAATCTGGCATGATTTTCATGTTTCTATTTGCCAGGGCAGATAATGCAGAAAAAGGAGCAGCTTTGGCAAGGCAGATGGAGAATCTAGACTTGGGACACTTTTGGCTTAATGAGCCTGTGAGAAATGCAAATGCCATGTACACTTAGAATTCAAACAAGAGGTTTAGGTTAAAAATTTGTGTTTCATCAATTCTAATATGCATATTTTTCCACATTTAAAAAATCTCTGAAATAGGGATATATCTTACATTTGATTATATCTCATAATTATTTAGCAGTAGGTTTTTTTCCTTGGTGCTACATAAGATGACTTTGTGTTTTACAACTCGTGGTATCTTTGATGAAAAAAGTATAATTCATGGACTTTACCTTACTGGTGTTAGTTGGAGCTTATTCATACTATCATCTACACAGGAAGGTACCCAGATTTGTGTACTGAAGGGGAGAAAAGGAAATATAATATCTTCCTTCTTGGCCTAAAGCAACTTGTACTTGTCATTCAAACCCTATGTGAAGAAAGGAGAACTTGTTTCTTAGTTAGGTTGAACTTCCATCTCATTCAAGGCTTTTACAGGTCCTCACTAAGTGAGACCAGTTGGTACATACCTCTCCTCCAGGTAAAAGTCAGGACTTCTCTGAATGGAGCATTTTCCAGCCATCCAGGATATGCTCTGACAGCTGGCTTCAATCACAGGGAACTGGTGTGGTCCAAGAGTTATTAATATTTCAAGGATTTAAGCCCAGTGGTTTTCAACCTTAGCTGCACATTGGAATTTCTGGAGCACTTCAAACTAATACAGGTGCCTGAGTCCCATAATTGCAGAATCTGTGTAGAACATTCCTAGGCATTGGTATATTTAAAAGCTCCTTGGTGATTCTAATGTTCAGACAAGGTAGAGAACCACTACTGCAGCACAAGACTGGGAAGTGCCAGTCAAACTATTGGCTAAGCAGGGAGTGAAGACTTTCTCAGAAGTGTACCCTTGGCCACAGTGTATGCTTATGGTCAGAGATTACAAACTTCAGAGATCATTAGAGCTAAGAAAGAAAACAGCATATGGACAGTAACATCAACAGCATTCAGTTCACTGGAGAAAAGGACTGAAGGCAAGAAAGAAGTGTATGTCTGTGACATTCACTTCAAGACACACCTCCAACAATGGCCAAATACGAGGTAATTCACGGCAGTATCTTTGTAATTGCAAAATACTGGAAATAATCTAAGTGTTCATACGTTTTTGGTACATTACACAATGGTGTACTCAACAGCTACTTAAGAAATAAGGAAGAACTCTGTGAACTGGTATAAGTGGTTACCAAGACATACTGTGAAGTGAAAAATTCAAAGTGCAAAGCATTTAGAATACTGTGCTAAGAAGGAATATAAGAAAGCATACTGTATCTGCCTGCTTGTGCAAAAAAAAAATATATATATATACAGGGAAGATAAATCAGAAGCTAAGGATATGGGTTACCTTCAGGGGATAAGTGGGAAAAAGATGGAGAAAGGGGCAATTGAGAATGGGGTAGTGGGGGGAGGAGGTAGGGATAGTATATTTTTGTATAGCTCTGACTCTTAGAACCATAATAGTGTTTCATATACCCAAAAAACAAACAAGTAACTAAAACCAATTAGGATTTGGAGAGAACCCAAAGGGAATAAAAATACTAGCAAATGAACTTGTGTAAGTCAGTAACAACTACACTGAAAAGGATAGGAAGGAAAGAACTAATATACAAACTCTGGGAAACAGTATCTTCATTGGATGCCATAAACCTAAAGACAGAAAGAGAAACAGTAGAGGAGACAACAGGTCAGTTTCCTCTCAGTCTCTGACTCTCCAATCCAATGTCATCATTTCAATCTTTTCTGGACTGGATTCTAATATAGTTGATGAAGTTCAAATCAAAGCCTTTTAAGGACATTAGACAAAACCCTAGTAGTGTTTTCAATGCAGTTTTTTCCCCATTTACCTATTTTCCCCTGTCTATCCCCCCAATCCTACTTGTCCTTTTTTTAAAAAGAAAGAAAGAAAACTTAGCTTGTTATACAAGTCAGAGATCAAGGTATGAGCACTCAAGAAAAGAGAACAACTGTTCTGTTCATCTTTATAAGGAAATAGAACAGTGAAAAAGCTTCCCAACTGTGCCTTTATATTGTATCAGTCTCTTTTGCTGTTTTAACTTTTTGGCCAAAAGGAAAAGAAAAAGAAGGGCTTCTGCTCAGCCCTGCAGCATTGCCACATAGGCTTATTAATCATCCAAAGGAATTTTTGTAGTTTTGAGATTTCTACAAATAGTCCCTCACCTGAATCTTGCTATCCCTGAGGAGATAGGGAAATATTATGAAAATAATGATAGTCCTGTCAAAGATTGATAGGAACACTGTGACCAGATCTGGGTCAATGAAGAGTCAACTAACCAAGGATGTGGAGTTTCTCAGCTCTCCTTAGCCCCTTGCTGGCACCCAGATGTCTGCAGCCCTCAGTCACCCCCCTAACCTGCTGCCCCTTTTCCCTAATGAAAAAGAACCTTGAAATTAACCCTGAGTTAAGATGGTTCTTTAGGAGTTGGCCTCCCATCTTCTTGGTCTGCTGGCTTTCCAAATGAAGTCACTTTCCGTGCCCCAATATCTTGTCTCTCAGCTAATTGGCCCATTGTGCAGAGAGTGGAATGAACTTGGACTGTAAAAGGAAGAACAGCTTTTTCCCCAGTATCTCCACCCTCAGTGCTGTCCAAGCAGAGTCTGAAGTCTACCTCATCCCACGCCAGGACACAAATCTTGGGAGCTCACCCACTAGGGGTGTAGAGGCTTATGCCATGGTGCTCCCAGCATTTAAAATGTCATCTTTATCATACACTAAATTCCTATACACTTTCAGGTCAATTTCTAGACTCTAGCTTATTGTGTTGATAGGTATGTGCCAGGACATCTTTTTTTCACCATCTTCATTTTAAAATGTTTGATGTTTGTGAGAATTAGATCCTCCCCATCATTCTTGGGGTTTTTCCCCCCACAAATTTTTCTTTTCTCATATATTTACTTCACCATGTGAACTTCAGAATGAGCTTATTTTGTTTTTCTCTCCTAATGTCATGTTGGTGTTTCTTCTGATATCCCATTACATTCATCCGCTAATTCAGTGTTTTAATGAATCACTGGAGAATTGGCATCTTCTTATTCGACTATAGATTAAGACTTACTGTTAACTAAAGACTTTCTGTTCTCTAAATTGGCAGGTTTTGGGTATCACCCCTTCTGAGTACAGGCCACTCTTGGGTTTATATTTTAATTTTGAAAAATAGACATTTTAGGATTTCAAGAAATAGAGAGTAGGAAAGGATTGAATGTCCTTCCTGTTTCCTACTGGTGTAGTGCTGAATAATATCTAGCTCTGTAGGCTTCCTGACTGTGTAAGTTGGGAAAAGGAGTGGAGGGAACAAGTCTTAAAGAGAGTAAGACACATATATGTCCATTTTAAGTGACAGGTATGATTACATAAACAGTAAAACTTAGGTAAGAC